ACTCTGACCACAGTCATTTTCTTACTAGGCTTCTATCGCTCACTTACAATGTAAATGCCTATTAAAAATATATATATATCATTCACAGTTTAGAAAGTTAGGCTTTTATTTGTCTTCCAGTCATTGTGACATTACTCTCATGTCCTTTTTTTTGTGTATTACAGATTTCTAAAATGCTGTTAGGGTGCATTTCCAATATTTTAAAAGCAACATGAGAAATAAGTTTCTTTATAAACCATTTAATCCACTGAAAGAGGAAAAAAGAAGAAAAAAAGCCAATGAGATTTATTTGTAAATAAGCCTTGGTCACGTTGTCTTTGTTTATAGCTACTCCTCCAAGATAGCAGCGAGGACGTGTGGCATTTGGCTCTGTCTAGGTATTGATCTTTGGAATGATTAGTTGGGATCTATATTTCTAACTCAGTCCATAGCAAATACCTTTAGGAAAGCTTTTGCTTTGAATCACTCGTGTGTACCAAAGAGTCAGTGTTGTTGAATCTTTGGTCTGTCAACAGAGAGGCCTTTCAGGCTAGTGACAATTAATATTTAAGCCTTTTATCAAAGAATGTGAAACATGTGGTGTTAACTGCTGACTGCCTCAGTAGTGTGAAAGGTGTTTCACATAACCAACCCACTAAAAAAAAAAAATTGCCTCCATCTTTTATTTGTAATTATATTACAGTGAAACGGAAAACATCTGGCACTGGCTTACAGCGCTGTAAACTTGCCTGGATAGCTGTGTTGCACAAAAAGTCTGTCCTTTCAGGGAAGCGCTACGTGAATAAATGCTGCAAAGCAACCAGGGTGTGCAGTCATGGTGTGTTAAGTAGCCTGCAGTGATGGCCAAGCTGCGCTCTTGAGCCTGCAGCAAAAGCGAAGTTGCGTATTCATGTGGAAGGGGAAAAAGTTGCTGAGCTTTTATTGTGAGCGCCCGTGTGGGTGCAGGCTGGGGGCCTGCTAGCGCTTCACAGAGCCAAATGCCGGTTTACTCAAGATAAGTTGTTTCCATGTTCCATGTAAAAGGTAAATTCATCCGCTAGGTATTAAAAATTATTATGGAGAAATCAGTGATGTATAAAGATGACGAAAACGGAATTCTTAAAATCAACATAAAAAAATCAGTCATAGCCCGTAGGAACTCCCTAAGACTGAGTCTGGTGAACACAACTCTCTCCGAACTCTGCAGCCAGACCCCGCATAGGCTGCTGAGCCGCTCGGGGGGACGGCGCCCCGGCGCTTCCCGAGACACTCGCTCCTGTTCTCATTCTTGCCTTCGCTTGTCCTTTCCCATCTCCCTGCTCTCTTTTCTTTCTTCTGCTTTTTCCTCTGCTTGTGCGTAGTTCATCCTGGTTTGTCTTTAAGAAAGCCACTTGGGGCTTTTACAACAACAAATTCCGTCTATTTGGAACGGACTTAGATTTTACTAAAATGAGCAATTACTATCATCTTTTACCAGTAACAGACTCAAGAGTTTTTCTTTGCAAACTTCCTCATTGTAGAAGAGGAAATATTTAGTTGTTCCTAGAGAAAAGCATTCATCTTATGCTTTACATTTCAAATATTTCAGCCGTATTTCTTCTATTTTCTGTATGCTTAATAAAAGATTGAAGATATTTTTAATGATTAATGCTTACTTTAGCACTAATTAAGGCAACGCCTTTGAACTCAAAACTCCAGACCTTGGGCAGCTCTGCTTTGCTCTGCAGTGACATGGCCACGTTAACACTTTTTGGCCTATTTATCCATGATAAATTAACAAAGCAAATGCCAGCCCTTCGTTAAGGTACTTAACGCAGGAGGAGTGTGCCCGCGCGCCGGGCAAGGCCAGGGTGTGCCAGCAGCGCGCTGGCCTGCTCCGTGCTGTGGGCCCAGCGCGAGGGAAGGCTTTGAGGATGAGCAGTCAAAGGTTACTTAAAGTTTCACACATGCAGCTTGGTTATGTCAAGACTGCTCTTCTTCCTTTTCTGCAAGAAGCTGGCAAAGGAAAAGGAAAGGAGTGTAACAGGAGCTGTGCAGGGCTGTCACCCCGACAGACAGCAGACAGGAGGAAACAACGGAGCTCCCATGGAGGGGGGCAGAGAAGAAACGAGGAGTCACCTGCTTTTCTAGGCAGCTGCTCCCTTGCAAGTGGTAACAACGGTTCTTAATTTCCTCCAAAGGAGAGGGCTAAGGGGAGTAGCCTACACTCTGGTAACACAAAGGAGACATGGCGCAGCTTTGATAGCTGGTGATATTTCACAAGCCTGCTTTCTGCTGGTGTCTCATAAAATGAGTGCTTACTCCAACGCCAGTGCCGCAGCTCTGCGGAGGCAGCAGGCAGAGCCCTGGGCTCCTCACCACCAAGCCGAACCTGCAGAGGGGGAAAACAGCAATGATAGGTATGTGAGAATGTGTATGCGGAGGAAAAAGGGTGAAAAAGCTTGGGATAGTTCAGCTTAGGAAGAGGATAGGTGAAGAAGGCATGTTATAATATTGTCTAAAGTAGTGAACCATCTTGAGATAGGCTCTGCTTTTTTCAAAATGGAAAATGGGTGGAAAGTAGAGACTTTTTTTTATGATGTGGTTGTTAAACTCTGCAGCTCACTGGAACTTAGAGGAATTCATCTCCTTTCAAAAATGGTACATTCACTTACGTTAGTGTCCAAGCTTATAATGAATGCTACCATAAATTTTGAAAAAAAGCTATGTTCAGAATTTAAAATTTTCTGTGAGCGAAAGGGCTAATGAAATACTTGGATCTGTGTAAACCGAAGTGATGTCAGAGGAGCCATAGCTGCCAAATGGGGCATGCATACCTTTGGGGCATGCATTTTACCTCAGGTTTACTTGTTCAGGTTTGTTTTTTGTTTTGTTTTTTGATTTAGAAGTTTAAAATAATTGTAATTTAATTAAAAACCGTAGAATTCCATACAAAATATATGCATTAAAATTTGGCCGTTCTTTGATTCCCGATTCCCTGAATCATATGTTTTTTCTCCTCTCAGGAAACTTCCATGAAGTCTGTTAAGAAAGCTTTCTCTTCCCTATTGCTGCTCCACATAGATAATGATAACCTCTCTTTAGTTTTTCCATCACAGAGGTCAGCACTGTGGTTTCAACCCTACTACAGAACTAAGTGAGTTTTGAGATTTCTTGAAAAAAAATTGTTTAAATTAATTTTTAGGGTATTTTTAACAATGCCAGCCTAGTATGTTTGTCAGGCATACAGTAATATCAATTAGCATTGTCTTTATTCTTCGGGCTACTAGAGCTAACTCAGGGTTATTTTGTGTAGCTTTATAAACCCAACGTTTGTTTTAGGTTGTTTAAGTTGTACCACCACCCCACCTCGATTCACTAAGCTAAATGTTACAGTCCATGCTAACATGACAGAGGAGATGGCATGGACTGGGAAAAAGTGGCCAGAAGCTTCTTAAGTCAAATTGGTCTCCAGGAGAAATGTTTGTGGACCCTTGACCTGAGACTCACTAATGCACCTCTGAATTTGGCTCTTGATGAGCTACTAAACCTGAGAAAAAACTTCTTCACTGTGAGGGTGACAGAGCATTGGAACAGGTTGCCCAGAGAGATAGTGGAGTCTCCTTCCCTGGAGATATTCAAAACCCGTCTGGATGTGATCCTGGGCAATGTGCTCTAGAGGTCCCTGCTTGAGCAGGGAGGTTGGACTAGATGATCTCCAGAGGTCCCTTCCAACCTAAACCATTCTGTGATTCCCTCTCGGTGGAAAGTTCTGTTATGGCCTAACTTGCTTTGCAAATTCTCGTATTATTGGAGCGGCCCCCTGTAAGAGTTAGGCTGGGATCCTTGTCGCTTGACTGCGTGGTGATGGCATACCGCATGCCCACAACAAGGGAGGCTTTTGGAACAGGCTGAGCTGTTAGATGCCTGTGATGTGATCCTAGTGATGAGAGCAATCAGAGCTATAGTTTTGTCCAATGTATTCAACAAAGAATGTGTGCTTCACTGACAGATGGCTGATGGAAATCAGTAAATTGTTGCCAGCGTTACTTTTCCCTGTTTAATGTGAAATATCAAATCAATGTAACAAAAGGGTTTGCATGCCTCAGACAAAACTGGGTTGTCCTTGAGGATAATGAAACAATAAATAGTTTTAGAAGGCATAATGGCACATGTAGTACAATGGAATTTTTTATACCACTGACTCATTAAGACCTTGTGATATGGACAGTAAATACTACTCATAATTTTTACTCAGAAATAACACTTCTTCATTATATAGAAAGACATAAAAGTAGGTAACCAATAGAATTGTTTGATGCAAAATGAAGTAATGGAACAGTTGGATGAGGGTAAACTTGGCAAAAATATATTTATTCTTTTTTTAATATCTCAAAGTAGATAAGTGTTTCCTTTTAATATCATAAGAATGCTCATCTGTAAATGATACTCTTTGTCTATTGGGTTGGAACTGATCATTAAAAATTATTGTGCAGCTTGAAGTCAAATTGTTGTTTCCTCGTATCTTTGCCGCCAGTGGGTGTCCTCAGGGTCCTGAAACCACTAGCTAGCTGTTTTTGCTGATAACTATCTGGAAAAACTGGGAAGTTGGACTCATTAAGCAGACCCTTATGTTGGGTCTCAGGTGGTTTCAGCAGAGTTTCCTTTTTTTTCTAGATCTCTGGTCATGTTCTTGTTCTTGTTGAAACTTACACTCTCTGCCCATGCTTCCGGTGACCTTCTTCTAGTTCATACACTCTGTCTTAATAACAAGCGGTGGTGTCCCTCAGCCTGCCTTCCAGCCACTTCTGAGACTGAGCTTTGTGGCATATGGCAGTGAATGGGAAATAAGGGAACTGAATAGCTTGAATTCAATAGTATGACAATATGATACGCTTACTCCTCCAAGTCAGCGGCGTTTGATTCTATAGCAGCTTTATATAGACTTACGTGGAGCATAAAATGGCTTGATAGAAATTTGATCTCAGAGGGGGACTAAGGCTATATTTAGAATACTCAGTTTTTCTCTTCTCTGATTTTAGGCTGAGTTTGCCGAGTGGCTGGGTCTGATGCACTATATGGAAGTTCTAATGCTGATCACAGTTACTGAACATGTCCCACCAACGTCAGATGAAAATGTCACTGTAACAGACACAGAGTTCAGTAATGTTCCAGTTCGTTTATATTTGCCCAGAAAGCAGCTGAGTGGATTGAAAAGGGCCATACTTTACTTTCATGGTGGAGGATGGTGTGTAGGAGAGGCAGGTAAGCTCTTTTCTGTAAGTACTATGGATATGTATGGAGCTCCATGGTTAATCTTAAATATTGCTTTTTATTTTATGAGATTTGCCATGGACAGGGTAAGGGAACTGGTGCTTGCACCAGGTTTGGGAAAGGGTGGCGAGTACATCTTGAGGAGTACAAAGGGTCTGGTTCCAGTGCTCTGTCTCTGTAATGGTTATGTTTCTTAACTGTAGCGCCTGGTTTTGTTATGTGGTATTGGTGGGAGAAAGGAGCAAAAAGGTGTATCTTAGTAAAGAAAATAACATCCAAATAAGGATAAAAATAACTGGAAAATCAAATGGACATGCAGAGACGCAGTTTTGTTTGCCTACCAGAATTTTGATTTCTAGAAACTTCCCCATAACTCTTGCTCTCTCTAGAAACTTCTTTTCAGAATCAGGAGTATGTTGGGGAAGGTCAGGAGATATTTATTGCCTCTGGAAATCTATTTGGGGGGAGTTCTTCCGTGTGGGAAGTCTTCTACTGCACCTTTATTTCTCATGTTTTTTCCCCTAGTATGCTATCTATCAGTGGCAATCTCATGATTGGTTTTCTTCCATGTTATTTCCAGCAGGATCTTCTAAAATATTTTAATTTTGTGCGCTATGCTTTTGCTATGATTATTTCATGGGAATGGTTCATCTTTCCTCTCCTGCTCAGTCGCATTCTCCCTTAGAGTGCATCATCCTCTCTTCTTAGCTGTAGTTCAGTGCTTTATATAAATGGATGTAAATGGTCATCGCAGGCCATCACCCAAACTGGCATCATAAATGTATTGGATACAGCGTAAATTCCCAATACTTAATTCATAGTTCACTTAGTGTTGCTTCTTCTGCTGTTGGTCTGCTAGTCTCCAGGTGAATGAGCCAAATTCTTTTCCCAGGCAAACTCTTTAATTTCTGCGTGATTGCACGTGTGTAGCTGAAAGCTGAATCAGGCCCCTGATGTAACTTTAATTTCCATTTTTCTCTGCCATAAAAGCTGAGCCTTGAGGACCTTGCAGTGTACAGTGCTGTTAAGTTTAAATAATGTGTTGCTTTTTCATGCTTTGCACTTTTAGATAGTATTCAAGCTGCAGTTGGTTCATTTTATTTATTTGTGCTTCTAGATAAAGCCACATGTGCAGCAGTTACACTGTGCTGTTGCAGAGGCACAGAGCAGTGGAGGTTTTGGAAACTAACTGGGGAGCTTCTGCCAAGAGAAACATGTAGCTGTTTGTTCCTTTTTAAATGTACTGAAATACATTGTAAGTGACTCATTTCATTTCAGGCATGAAACCCTATGACCTTCTGTCAAGATGGACTTCAAACCAGTTAAATGCTGTTGTGGTATCAGTCAAGTAAGAAAAATTCTGCTTCTGGATTGAATGAATGAATTCATTTTGAGTTGTCTAATTTTGCATGATGTGCTGTGCTAGGTTTAAGTATTTGGGGGGAAAAAATTGTCAAGGATATAGTGGTGAATTGATGTCCAGTGGTGGACTGGTGTCCAGTGCTTACTTTTGGGTATTGCTTTATGAAGTTGGGTGGGTAACAAAATGTATTAAATGTATGCATTTCGGTGCCACTACACAGTGGCAAATATACAACAAATATTGTATAAAAACCAAAAGTGGAAATTGTTTTCCCTCCAGAAAAATGCATGCAAAAACTCACTGGAAAGACATTTCCAGGGGATTACTGCACCATATGTGCAGGCCTTTCCTCCCCCAGGTGAATGAATATTGTCTGCCTCCAAAGTAAATCAGTCCCTATGTATTTGAGAGGCTGTCCCAAAGTTTTGGAAGAGCCAGTGACTCTGTAGTATCTCTTGCCCCACCTTTGCTCCTTTGGAGCTCTTGTATCTTATTTCGGCCATTGCATGTATATAACATAAGACAGATCATGTACTGTAAAAATACCTATAGATGCACAGAAGCCAAGGCTTTTGTTTAAAAATGAATATTAATAAATATCCAACAGTTTATTTTATTAAGCTTTACATGGAAGTTTTAATTTCAAATCATTTTCAAACAAGTGACATCAGAAAGCTCTTTGCTGGGCTGGGCAGAACACCTGAGGAACCTAATTTACCAGTCCTTTGATTAGAGTAGCAGTGCAAAGAGCATGATAGTGTAGAAAATTGGAAGTAACTTTCCAGAATTGCTGTTGTTGCTACACACTTGCTGTTGCACTAGGAAATGGACTTGGCCTGCTAGATCCCATTGTCACTGTCATAATTACATTGTCTATAAAAATAGTATATGAATTAACAAGTGCTCCTTTAAGTTGTTAAACCTAGTTTATGCTTCAATTCAAGTTTTTATAGGTACCATATCATACAGTCAGCTACAGATGTATTGTAGATTGCTGTTCGTCAACTGTGAGGAACTATTGCTGCTCTAAAACCCCATCTATATTGCTTCTAACAATTTTTGGGATAAGAAACGAGAGTGGGAGATTGTATTTCAAAGAAAACTGGTGTGGAAAGAACGATAGCCATTGCTTTTCTCTGTCATGGATTGAAGAGGAGGGTGCCCAGAGTCACGTTTTCTGGCACCCCTTTATTTTCAGGTTGGCAAGGCTGACGGGGTAGCAGAGCACTTCCGTGCTGTGCTAGTACCGAGCAGTCAGTCCTGGCGAGCCGCTCGTGGCAGCGGGAGCCCGGCCCTGCTTTCTGCCAGCTGCTGGCAGCGATGGCTCTGAAGCGGCTTACCCACACTTGCTGCTGTGTTGCAGAGAAAGCTTCCCTGCTGCGCAGAGATCGTTGAGCCATCTTATGAGGGGGGCTCTCAGGCCTCTCTGTGGAGGCAAGTACCACTTGTTTATTGTTAAAGTTTTGGAAAGCTGTTGAAAAATTCAAACTCTGATATGAAATGGCTCAGGAGAATGGTCCCTTCCCGCTCAGCAGATTTGCTCCCTGAATGTATAGTTTGAGCCTTAAGTGCTAATTATAGTAATTGAAATATTTTTTGTCTTTTTTTAACTGTTGTTACCTTGCTGAGCCAAAACAGCTGCAAGAATGAACATTGGAATTGCCTGTTTTTCATAGGCCAGCAGGATTTACTAAGTTTTAATTAGTTACACCTTTATAATTCCACTCCTCTGTACTCTTTAAATGCTGAGCCACAGCCATAGAGAAAGGATGTGCCGGGCACTGTACACATAGAGGACAAAACAGCAATCTCTGCCCTGTGCGGTATAGGATTTGAGAACAAGCAATAAGAAATGGACAGAATCATGATGTTATAATGAAATAATGGGATAATACTAGCCAAGAAGACATGGACAGGCCCTACATACCAATTGCCTAATATTTGGCAAGTATTTATGCAGAGCACAGCGAAGAGTCTGTTTGTTTGTTTTTTTGTTTGTTTTAGAAGGATTTTGCAGGAAGACATCTATTTTGTGGGTGCTTATGGGGAGCTCCTCATCAGAATTGGAAAAACAAAACAGAACAAAACAGATACATGGCTCCAAAGGCTGGTATGAGCTTATTGAGGAGGAGCAGGCTTTAAAATGCAATACAGGGACAGGAAAAGAGAAAGGTGTGGCATAATCAAAGCAATGTTCTGGAAAACTGGTCTTTGCAGGAGCATTTTAATTGGACAAAACAGGGCAAGATAAAAAAGAACACGGTCATGAAACTACAAAATGATAAGAACTTGCAGAATATTTTTTGTTATATGACTAGATTGAAAAAGCATTGAGATGACTATAGAGGAGGAATCTGCATAACGTAGATGTTTTCTGGAGAGAGCTGAAGTGGTAGACCTGATAGGAAGTAAAATTGCGGGAAGAGATTTGTAAAGACAGCTGAGAGGTCAAGAAGGATAAGAAATAGAGAACTGCAGTTAGGATATAAGTAATGGCCTTTGCTGCTATTCAGTATTTCAATTATGTGGATTTTGGAGTGGTGGCAGAAGTAATGGCAATATATGTGCCATTCAAGTACTATTATCAAAACATTCCCAGTAATACCAAACCAGCACTACTTACTGCAGAGCACTTCTTAGCACTACCGTGCTATTGCTGGAGCAAGAGTGTCAGCACATGAAGGACAACCAGCTTTTATGAGGATTAACTGACGTCCTCAAGGAAGAGCCAGTAATGAAGTGGTGAAAGCTGAATGCTGACTGGCACGAGTACCTCCCAGCCCATGGTATGCTTAGACTTTCAGCAAAGTGGAAGGAGAAAGAGGTCCACAGGCAAATTGCTATTTTAACTAGGGGCACTATCTGAAGAAGTAAACTGTGAGATAAGAAAACCCTGGATATTTTATGTAGAAAATACAAAACTATGAAAATTCAAGTGGATGTTTTCATGGAAATCAGTAACAACGAAATAAAATGCTTCCCCCAAGCATCTCTGGGTTAAGTAACGCATTTCTGTTCATGTCTCTAACAGTTACAGGCTGGCGCCTAAATACCATTTTCCAGTTCAGTTTGAAGATGTGTATGCGGTAACAAAATTCTTCCTCCAAAGCAGTGTCCTCTCGCAATATGGGGTGGACCCAAATCGGATCTGTGTTGCTGGAGACAGTGCAGGTGGCAACTTAGCTGCAGCTGTGGCACAACAGGTATGTCTCTTTTTTTCTAACTCGAAACATTTTTTTTTTTTTCTCCATTCTAAGAACGTTTAGAAAAGACTTAACAGTAAAACTCTGCTCAAAGCAAGCACACCTCCGGAATGTCTTTTGTGTTTGATGTAAACAGGATGTCTTGCAGCCTGCAGTCCTGTGAATGAGTTTTTGCATTTCCAATTAAGCAAGTTTTCTTTTGTCATTTAATGGAACCAAAGTAGCTTTGATGCTATGGTGTCTTCCAAATCTTAATACCCTAAAAAAAAAAAATCTCTCTGTATTATAATTAAGGACAGATATATCGTCCTATCCTTAGGCAAATTTTGTCTGCTTTAGATATGTTGTTTGGAAAGGAAATCTCGGCAGTTTGATTCATACTGATCTAAATTATAGCAAAAGAAGACCAGCTGTTACAGTGTCGTTTCATCTCACACAGTTTCAATGCCTTTTGCTCTTCTCATTCAGGTTTATTTAATAAGGTCAGTATGATGTTACTCTCTTGAGAAGTTATTTGGATTGTAATGCATCTTACTCAGAAGGGTTATGAATTTGCAGTGGACGCTGAAGGCACAGAGGATGAGAGAGAAGGCTGAAATTTATGAGTGAACAGGGAAAAGGATGACATACAAGAAATGTCAGTGTTCAGTTCATCACATTGTGTTTTTCGTGTGTCTAAAATGCATGGAACCTTAGTAATTTGAATTCTAACACCTCAGATTAGAAAACAGGGTGGGTAATCTTTATATTATGTGAAATAAAGGAGCCTCACAACTCTGCAAATTTAAAATTGTAAGCATTTAGAAATGGTGGTTTTTTACTACTTAGAAAAGCATCAATGACTCTTAATGCTTCAAAAAATTTCATAAATATTCTTATCTTCCAATATCAGAGATAACCTGAAATTATATTTGAGACTTTGTATAAAATGTATTATTTTAGGTGACCTGCCTATGAATTTAGAATTTCTTTAAGTCTATTCTGTTTTTTATTAATAATCTTATTTTTCTTACATTGTAAAACGTGTGTGTGTTAACTCCTTACTTTTAAGGTCTTCTGTCAGTGTTAGAGAACCAGAACTTCTTAACTGACTGTGTGTAATTATTTTTTACAGTTGTTAGATGACCCTGAAGTCAAAACTAAACTTAAAGTCCAAGCTTTGCTTTATCCTGCTCTTCAAACCCTTGACCTGAATTTGCCATCTTACCAAGAAAATGAAAACAAGCTGATTCTACCCAAGTCACTTATGGTCAGGTTCTGGAGTGAATATTTCACTACTGATTCCTCTCTTAGAGAAGCAATGGCCTCCAACAGGCATGTTCCAGCTGAAGCAAGCCACTTATTTCAGTTTGTAAACTGGAGTAATTTACTGCCTGAAGAGCTAAAAAAAGATCATGTTTATACCAGTCCCGTTTATGGAAGCTCCAACCTTGGGAAGAAGTATCCAGGGTTTCTGGATCCAAGAGCGGCACCTCTGCTGGCAGAAGATGCCAAGTTACACAGCTTGCCTCTGACGTATGTTCTCACGTGTGAACATGATGTCTTGAGAGATGATGGGATTATGTATGTCTCGCGCCTTAGGGAAGCAGGAGTTAAAGTAACACACAATCATGCTGAGGATGCGTTTCATGGGGCTTTAGCATTTATTTCAAGCCCAGCCAACTTAGCTGTAGGACACAGGTTGTTAAATCACTATATTAACTGGTTAAATGACAACCTATAAATTGAAAATGTTGATTTAACATGCTTGGCACATGCGCAGTGGATGCAGTTGAGGTACATAGGGATAATAGGGTGGCTTCTGTATGAGCTTTTGGGGTATGAGATTGCCATATTCACTATGTGTTTCCCTGCAGTGCCTAGATTACAATGTTTCTCATCTGCTCTGGCAAGCAAATTAGTTTGATTCTGATCTAAGCATTCTCTCAGTGCTGTCATGTAAGTCTAGAAACCCCATAAACCGTCAATTTCTGTCCTGGGATTTCTCTCCTGGCTGAGACCAAAAGGGTTCTTGCACCTGGCCTTCCTCCTCCCAGCTGCCTTCGCACGCTGCAGGCTGTGCTGAAGCCCTCTGGGTTCACCTGCTGACTTCCACAGAAGCAAAACAGAAACTGCTGCTTTCTGTTGCTTCTTGTTTCTTTCTATTACCAGTTCATTGCAATAGGCTTGAGCACGTTTTTAACATCATTGTTCGCATATGATGGACACTTGGCTGTTTGCTTCCAACCCCTTCAGGGTCCTTTCCCTTGGCCCCAGAGGTCTTTTCCCTCCAGAGCTTGCTGGGGAATGGGTTTGCAGTGTGTAGTTCTTCTGGGGCCCTCAGCAGCCGGGAAGCAGGGAAATCATGTTTCCGAAGGAGTGATGGTGGTGAGTGGAAGTGCAGCAACCAAACTTCATGAAGTGAAAGGCAGTTTGTGAAAACCTGCCAACTCTATGTGGCTGGTGTTTTTGTAACATTGTCTCACTCCAGCAGAGTTCAAGGTAAGTGCTTGGCAACAGAACAGCATGGCTATAATACAGTGCAAATGTTAAAAACATAACATTTTTTTGTTATTGGTTTTATTCAGTAATTACTTTCATTAATCTCTGTACTAGAAGGAAATAGCATAATTAAACAAAACTGGATACTTGTCAAATAAAGGAAAGCAGCAAAGATTATAGCCTTATGATAGCACTGCTCTGTATTTAATGTTCTGCTTATTTGATATGTATCATGTGTTCTAATTATCCTAAAATTGTTTAGCAGTATTTTCATATGAATTTTAAAAAATGAAATTAATAGCTCTATAAGCTTGAAAAAGAAACATAATTCAGCTGTCAGTCTTGAACAAATATCCTCTCTATAAATGTTCTGTGTATTAAATGTACATCCTAAAAATTTGGGATGATGAATGCACATATGCACTGACTGTTGGTTATATAGTGATCATGACACACCACAAACGCTTACTTTTGGCACTCTATTTTTTTCTTTTGTGTAAAAGATCTTGAATCTTAAAAAATAGTTTCTTCCAAATGTGTATGCAGCCAGTTTAAATGCAGTGCTTCTAAAATTATTTTTCTTTTTCATATTTACATTTAATATAAAAATTAAACTCATCTTTGATTCTAACACGTGTACTTTTTTGTTAATCAAATATTCCATTTATAGGAAAGGAATAAGACATTCGCTTTAGTACCCATGGTAATTATTAAAAATAACCAAGACCAAATCCAGGGAAATGTCATATTTTCTGCTTTATTATCAATAAAATAAATATTTAGTGATTCTTAACTTTGGGTGTGGAAGAATGTTCAGAAAGAAACAAAAGTGGTTGAATAGATTTATTTTATCAACAAACGAATATCGAAGTTTGAGATTGCAATAGATAAATTAACTCAGAGCTGAATTATGGGTTCTATGAAGGCTCTGTCAAGATACCTTGTCATTTTAGGAAAGAAAGAAAAGTCAGAAAATCAGTTTCATTTTTGAAGGAGGAGCTTTATCTTTTTTCTACTTCTAAATTCATCCTTCAAATGGCAAATGATTTACTCCCAACATAGTAGGAATGAAACTATATCATGGGATTAAAAAGCAAAGCGTCTCATATAACCCACAGGTATAGCATTGCAGTCTTGTAGTTTGCAAGTGTATGTTTTCTCAGGATACACGTGTATATACAGACTCGCAGTTTATTTGGAAAATGATTTGTTACAGAGCTTTCCATAACGCTATTGAGCAGGCTGCAGCTCTCCTGCATACAACTTGTCTCCCATTTTCTAGCAGAAGAAACCTGAACTGGAGTTTAATTTCCTCCTCATTTGAAATTAATTTATAGTGGTTTATTATTCCCAAGGAAACATTTGTGGGTGTGTGCTGGTGGTGGGGAGGAGGGTTGCTAAGCTTCAGTTTGACTTTGTATACAGAAATAAGGATATGTCCACAAGAATGTTTTCCAGCTAGAATATTTTCAACACCTGTAAATGCTAGTAGGACGAAATGAGTTGGCTTTTATTCTGTATTACAGTGATCCTTATTTTAAGTCTTCGACTATTTTATCCTTCCTTCTGTTTTAAACAGCAGAGAAAGACTTATTTGAGAGGAGCTTTTAGAGAGGGAATTTAATGCGTTTGTATCAGAGGAGGACATGTAGAGAAACCCAGAATATGAGACCAGGCATCAATCACTGGAGTACCCTGTTGTCATTGCTCATTAGCTTTGATTTGTTTTCCTTCTCTGCTGGCACTAAGACACTGCTGATAAAATGGCATTATTCTGTTTGGAAGCGTTCAGGAAAGCTCATTCATCGCTCAGTCTGTTACAAGGACTCAGACAAGGAGCAGGAGAGTGGCTGCTCCCACAGAGATGGAAGAGTGGGGCACGCGTGGGCTGACGTGGTGCCGATGGCCAGAGATGGCGGCCATCCAGGTGGGGAGCCAGGCTAGCCCAGGGGCTCAGAGGCCAGGGAGCGCCCCGGCTGCTACTGCTGCTGACGGATGGCATCAGCCAGGCGTCAGTCACAAAAGGAGCAAGGAGTTGTAGTAGTGTGGATGTATAGCAGAAAGGCACTCCTAGGTCAGAGCCTAGCACCACAGGACGTAGGGCTAGCTTTGTTTTCAGAACTACATTTTTAATTTCAAAAGATGACTTGCACAGTTGTTAGTGCTTGGTGTTTTTCTCTGATAGACATACAACATGATGTGTTTTGTTAAGAGCTGCATGTAAGAAGAAGGCCTAGCAGAGAGCTTTAGTTGTGGGTCTTGGCATTTTCTCAGTTTCTTCAGGCAAATTTTCATGGAAGGCATTGGGACGTGTTTGGCAGGGGAGGCAGGTTTGCTGAGGGAGGATGGTTATCAGTTGAAAAGGGAGCATGGAGGGGTGGTGAAGGAGAAGTTTAAGAGATACCATAGGTGTAAATGGTTTAATTAGTGGAGAATCTGAAAAAGCAGGCATGAAGGTGGTAAAGCAGTAAAAATCTTGGCAGTGAGAGGAACAGAGCAGAAGGCACTCGTAGGAATTATCATTCTTACCTTTGGGAAAGCTGTATACCCACAAGGTAGCAGAAAAATTCATGTTCTAAGCAAAAATGCTTAACAGTATTACCGAACTCTGTCCACCTGTTTTTTGTAGAACTTTACTTAGAACATTAAGTAAATGTTGTTTAATCACCAGCACCCAAATAGGGATTAATGATTGACTGGGCTGTATCTGCTCCTGATTAGATTCCTGAATTAGATTTCTGAGTTGCAAATGCTTGGTGAGGTGGGAAACAGGGCAGTGAAATTTGCAGCTTACTCAGTCTCTGGGAGGAAACACTGAAGCCATGGTAAGTAACTTTGAATGAGTAAGAGAAAACAATTAAAAACCACTATTTTATTTCAGAGGTTTTCTTCCGTCCGCCCCATGTATGAATGAGGTGAGTTTTTTTTTCTGATAGAGGAAAACTGATCCCTTTGGCAGTTACACCCATCAAATGTGAGGTGAAATTTGCCTTGCGTTGTCAGTCAAACAGCAAAGCTCACCCTTGCCATCATCACAGGATGGCTTATCCTGTGGCATCCTGATTTCTGAAAGTTTGCAGAAGAGCCAGGTTGTGAGGGGTCAGCTGGCCATAGGGATCAAGCCTTCTGAAGATGCTCAAGAAAGCAGTGAGGCTGGAAGTGGTGGTGGAGGAGCTTGAGTGTGGGGAGATGCACCAAACACCAACTTAGGGCAGGCATAGCAAGTGGTGCTGAAAGCAATTGCTGGAAAGAGAGGATGAAGGAAGAGAAGGCAGAACCAGGAGTGAAACGTCAACCCGGGGAAAGATCAGAGAGAGAGCAGAAGTGAATGTAAAATGACCCTATTATTGCTGCTCTTGCCATCTTGAATCTACTCGCTTGCATGCTAGCTGAAAATCTGAAGTTACTCTGAAAATCCTGCTGTGGTCTGCACCAAGAGTTGTCCTTCCCTCAACAACTGAATATTGATGAAAATTGGAAAATTTGAAGTTTACTTCAAAGTCCACCGAGTGCTTTAGAAAATCTCCTCAAAACTCTACAGGTGATGAAGGAATTGCCTATTCCTTCATTTCTGCGTTTCTCAAGGAGGCATCTGCAAGCTTTTGGTGGTCCCTATGTTCATGGAGGCACGTTAAATGGTATTGCTGAATACTGTTTCAAGACAGAGTCTGGCATTAAAGGCACACAGTAACCTACCAGAAGTTTTGCGTGTTAGTCCAAGAATATTTGCTATCCTTTGGTGTTTTAGAGTAGGAAGATAGGGGAGTGTGTTTTGTAAATGGGAGCCACTGATATGCTTCATCTTACAAATGCAATGATTCCCTGCTCCCAACACTTAACATCATGTGCCAGTTCCAATAAAAGCCTCATCCTTCTGAGAAAAAAATTGCCATCCTATTTGCATAATGAGAAAGTGAATTTCTGATTAATTGTCACGGACTTCGAAGATTCTCCATTGCAGTGGCAATTTCCCTGACTTTATAATCCTGGACCTTGCAGAACAACTTGAATTTTCTTTTGAAAGATCAGTTTCTGCAATAGATAATGGGTCTGCTTGCCTCATTCTCAGTTATGTTTTAACAGCACGCTGATCAGCTTGGAGCTAACGTGCTTCCAGTGAAAGCTGCTAAGAACAGTGTTTTCAATCTCCAGTTTTCCCATCACGTTTATAAAACACTATACAGTAGTAGGCATATGGGGAGAAAATTAAGTTAAATGGTACTTAACAATTGTGTGGGATGAAATAAAACATCCCTCCTAGTTAATTTTTTTTCCTATTATCAATTTGTTAGTCCTTAACTTTCTGCTGGATTACTGTGCTCATACAGTAATGGGAGCTTTAAAGCGTCAACTATTCAAGCCATTGATGGGCTTTTTAATATGTGTAGGAAAATGTACAATCAAATGATGTATGCAACCCATTCAATGAAGTGTTCATCAGTTTATTTCAGATTAACTGTAATCACTGGATTGCAGCTGGCTGAGGAAATGGCTGAGGACATTGGAGCTTACAGCCTCAGAAATTTAACGGTTATGGTCTCAGTGTCAGCAGGAACAGCAGGAACGTGGCCTCTCTGATATGGACCGCAATGGTCTATATAATTTTATCTGGTTAAACAAGCTGTGAGAATAGTTTGTTTTAGCATACTTTTAGAATTGCAGATAAAAGTTGTTCGCTGTTGGCAACTTCTTTTTAGTGCCCAACTGCACTGGTACTGCTCAGCGTGTTTGTTATTTGTGTAGCGTTAACCAGTTCATAAGAGCAGTTAAAGGGCTCCTTCAAGGATTAAAAATAAAGCTGCTTTTTTTTTTTCCTCCCCACAAAAGCTTTAGACATAAGCCTTATGTTGAAAACTCTACCAGCAGAGGACAGTACATCACAAAAGTACATTACAGCAGAGGAGGATACTGAGCTACCCTGAACTGTTGAAAATGCAACAGCAGTTGCCTGAGTGAGCAAAATATATGAAAGCTGGTAAGTGAGAAGCAAGTACTATTTATCAGCCACATGAGAAGTTTTTAAGCAGCTTCTTTAATGCTTACTATTATCTGACCTTTTGAGCTTTTCTTCTGAGCAAAGCTAGAATAACTGTTTGTACCCCAGATATTAGTGGGGTTGATACTCACTAACCTCAAAACAGATCACAGAAAAGAGGATGCAAATTTTTTTTTAAAAAGTATATTTATTTCTCAGGGTGATATTCAGAATTTTTCATTGGTGTGTGTCATGCTATTGCATTTAACTTCTCCAAGTTTTTCTGTTAAATACTGGGCTTATTCTACAGGTGGCCCTGTGTTCCACTCAGCTTCCATTTATATTTTATATAACATATTAAGTTTGTAATATATGTATATTGGCTTGTACAAATCAGATAAAATGCTATATTGCAAATGAAAATGTGTTATATACTTCAGTTAGGAAGTATGGCCAAACACTGTGAAGGAAGCACCTCACTGGGGGGAAGCGTTTTGGCAAGCTGGCCCTATTTAAGGTTAAACTGTGGCTAAAGAATGGATACGAAGTGGGCGCAGACAGCATCACTAAAACGGACCTGGTTCAGTTGGTGAGAGCTGCCCCAGAGCAGGCTAGCTCTCTTGTTATCATGTCTGATTTGAACATTCAGCCATTTAAGGTAGGTTGTTGTTTTGAAAAGTGTCTTTTGCAAAACCTTTAACAATGCTGGCAAACCTTTATGGTTGTTGCAAAAAGAGAACTGGTGGAATTCAGGCTGTGGTATTTCCATAGCCATTCCATTTCTGCAGCGACACAAGGTTGCTGCTGTCCCCAAAGCCCTTACAAAGGGAGCAGAGTCCTTCCGCATGATGCTTTTCTGTTGTAAGACAGCAGTGTAAGGAGCTTGCCGTATCTTGGGTTTTAAAATGTTTACTGCTAAAGCACTTGACGTGTATTGAAAATGTTTTGTCTGGATGTAATTTTGGAACACTTCTTGCTTTCCTAATCTACTTCTTTTTAAATGGATTACAATTTCATTATTTCAAGAAATCTATATCCCAGCATTTCTGGTAAAGTAAATTCAAGACAGACAAAATTAAATTTAAATATGTATATAAACTAACTCTGTCTGAAAGTTATTTGATTTGCCACTTTGCTTCAGGTGGGTAGTGCCTGAGTTATAGTTGTAGGTGTCATAGCTGAACTTTGTAGGCACAAAGGAAGTATTGAAGTTTTGAAATTTTAGCCTATGTCTCGTTTAACAGGATGAAAAGAGAAAAGATAGTTTAATCCCAAATTTGCGTTCCCCAACTTTGGAGGCAGCTAGGAGCTCCCATGGGTCTGTTGAAAGCTGCAGAAGCTCCGAGGTTGACTGCAAGAGTGCCGTTTCTGACACGCGGAGCGCCCAGCCTTGCAGCCAGATCACGTGCATTGGCGAGGGGATACGCGCTCCTGGGCTGGCAGGCAGCTGGGGTCCGTGAGGGTTGTCGGCAGCCACCTGCTCTTCTGTCTCTGCATGACTAGAGCCTGGGACCCCATGTGACATGTTGCAGGAAAACCTGAAGATCTGGTTAGGGGAAGTCATGTAGTACTTTTAGCATTTGAAGTATTTGGAGTACTTTACAAACATTCCCAGTTAATTTTCCCAGTTAAAAAAGTTTAAAGTTTAAATATCCTTAACATATGGATTGGAAAAGAGGGACAAAGAGATTGAAAAATTGGCTTTCAATGTATACTTATTTCCTGCAAAATCAACCTCTGGCATAAAGTCTGTCAGTTTAATGCCTTGTCTTAAGAGTAATATGTAACAGCTTGACCTTCCTAAAGACACATGTAATGTGCTCCTGAAACAGGTCCAAAGTTAGGTCATGTTGGTCTGGGGAAGAAACATATGCTAGTGTGCAGCTGAGGGTTTTTTGGTTTTCTTCCTCTATGTGACAAATGTACATGACTTCTGAGGTCATTGATAGTGTATCAGCAGTCTCTATTACAGGGGCACACACGAAATAGAGGCTGTGGCACGCAGCGCAGCTGTGGGACAGGGACCCCGAGAGGCTGCGGGACCCTGTTGGAGCACGGCCGGACAGGCCAGGGCAGTCCGACGGGTGGGAGCCATTGCAGCTTGCCTGGAGGCTGCTGGCCCTGTGGTCAGGGCGCTGGGCAGTGCCTGCCAGAAGTCCTTCACGGCCTCAGTAGTTCTGTGTCCAAGTGGTTGAAAAGCTACTGAAAAAAGTGAGTGCTGAGGTGGGGAGGAGAGAGGGAAGCAAGACAGAAAGCACAGTTGTGTGAGCCTCCTCTTCAGAGAAATTTAGGGTCAAAGGTGTGGAAAGCAGCAGAAATGCTCAGAGGCATTTTTCTGGCAGACAGCATCCGACTAAAAACATGATGAACTTGGCTGTGAGACTGAAGAAGAAGAAAATGCATTCATTCTGGAACATAAGTAAGTCAGATGCTATTAGACTAATATAAATAGACCACAAATAAACAAAAGTAGACATTTTATTCTATCCCTTCTTTGCACCAAAGGTAGAAACAGCATCAGGCTACTCTGCTTTACAATGACAGGCTATATAGGCTGTTCCTAATGCAATATGGGCTGATGCATGGTAGCAGTATGCATTACTAGGCCATTTACACTGCAGCAACTGTTGCAAAGTTCTCATCCACAGGTTGCTGGTGGCCAGTGCAAAGTGTTAATTTATTTTCCCTAGTATTAATTTATAACCTAAAAGAATATTTATGTTCTGCTTTGCTCACTGGGGTGAGGATAAACATCCCCTGTTTAAAAGGCTCTGTAAGAAAAGCACCACGCTTCACTCAAAGTCAGTCTTAATGACTCACCCAAGTGTCTCAAATGCAAATACATCACAATAAACCATTAAATATGCATCACTTGTTTTAATAGTCCTCAGTCTAATATAAATTGACTAATGGCTAATTGATTAATGCCAAGAAACTTGCCTGAATCCAATTGTATTTCTTTAAAGCCCAAGGAATGCCAAAGGATCTGGTGAAATTAACAGCATGCCATTAATGTATAGTCCAAGCTTGCCCTTGTCTCACAATTTAAACTCAGTTTTTTCAAACTTGCTTCAAATTGACTGGGAACGGCAGGATTAAGTCTCAGGAATCAACATTTCAACAGCTTTTCTGAGAAACACTATATACATCTATCAAAGAAGTGCAAAGAAAGGTTGCTTTTATCGTTAGGGCTTGATTGCTTTTTGGATTGATGGTGGTGGCATTAGGTTGTTCCTCACTGAAAAAGTTTGCGCTAACAACATTTGTTGAAAGGCTAGCTGACTGTAACAAACGTGTGTTGTTAAAGGTGCTCTAGAAATGAGAGTTCTTAGGTAAGGGATGAATTTCCCGCCTGCCAAGTCAATATTGACATGTCCTCAGTATTAGCAAACTGTGTGCGGTTGCCAATGTCACCCTCTGTTATTTCTGTCTTCTCCAGCTGCCAGCACTGCTGGTGAAGTACTAATGTGCTTGCTGCTGCACGGCATCACCCCCGCGGGGTGTCCCTGGGAGGTGAAACGTGGGCAGAATCTCTCCTGCTGACGAGACTTCTCATGCAACTTCTGATAGCTATGTAGGGTCTTCCAATAACCTGAGCATTTTGTGTGTAGTTCATCCAAAGGCAACAAGTTCTGTATGCTTGATATTGCCCATAAATGAAGAAGGTAAATAGTCTGGCCTGTGTTTTACCATGAGACTCATTATTAATAGAGTTACTTCTGCTTAGCTTTAGGACTTTACCACATCTACATTTCTTCCTCCAAAATGCTGCAGCTGAATTCCCAATAACTGCATCCAGTAAATAAGAAACGTTATATATTTGGGCGTAACTCTTGGCTTATGTCAGATTGAACTTAAATTGTGAACTGAAGCTCTCCAATTTGTACTTTGATGCATCACACAAAGAGCAATTAAAGGGAAGACTTTATCTCATTGTTTGTGTTTTTCTGTTCCTGCCACAGTCCACTGGCAGAATGCATTCCTTAGGCAGTAGCCAGGCCTGGGTCTTTCTCCATCCATATCGATAACAATTGATCCCAGAGAAGGAAAAACTGAAATTACTGTAGCAGAAAATAAAGTGTGTGTTGAGATGAATTTCTAGCCGTATTTACATGGCTACATCCCTCAGTGACCCACTGCTTGCTGGGAATGGACTGCAGAATTGCCCTCTGGCATTTTTTAAACCACAATGTGCTGACCATTTTATCCTCCATTTTTCTATTGCTACAGGATTTTTATTACGCAGCTGTAAGAACAGGATACCCTGGGGGTGGAATTGGCACCCGTGGAGCTTTGTACGACTCACCTAGACAAAACCATGGCTACCCAATGCAGTGTCAGGGACTGCCCCGATTTCCCCAGCAGGGCTGGAGACCTCCAGGTGTCTCTTTAGCAGCGTTTCTGCGAGTCTGGGAACCACCAGTGATGGCTTTCCTGAGCTGTAGGTGCCAGGCCCAAATTCAGGATCATATAGGCGTAGTTTATATTGGTTTTTCTTGATGCTTTACCTTATATTATTTACACTGTAGTGTACCTGTCGAACCTCTTGGCCACAAACTGCTTTGTGAGGTCCTTCTGAAGTTTCTCTCCATTAGTACAGCATAATCTGGAGGATTAGTGCCCAGTGTTTTCTTGAAACTTAAAGATTTCCCTGTTCGCTCCTTTCTCCAGGCCATTGACAAAGATGTTGGGGAAGAAAAATTCAATCCTGATAGTGTTCTCTGGAGCACCCTATTTTCCATCCTGGAAAGCAACTGCCTTTTGCTTCTTGTCCTTTAGCCAGCTTTCAAGTCCTGTGGTTCCCTAGTAGGCTGATTTCTTTACTGACCTGTGGTGTGGAACTGCAGCGCTGGCTTTTTGAAAACCTATGTATATAATGTCTACTAGATCCCCTTTATCCAGGGTTTAAAGCATTGTGCGTTGACATAACTTATTAAGTCTCCTTGAAAAAAATCTTGCTTTTGTAATTCAATTCTGTGAAAAATATGGAGATTTAAGATTAGTTCATTTATTTGCTTTCCTCACAAATTGTCGCTGATATAAAGTAGCTCTTTTATAATGCTTGACTTAACCATTTAAGGAAAACTCCTTTTAGTTCCCCACTTACTATAAGCGTTCCATCCGTATTGAACAGTTTTGTAGCATTTCATCTGTTTCTGTGACTTCTTTCATCATCCCTCATTTAGAAAGGCTCACTTGTGATGGGTTTCTTAGCATTATCGATGTCCATTCCATGCTGTTTTTGACTTTTTTACTTTTTTTTTTTTTTTATTGCCGATGCAGAAATGACATTGTTGCTGCTCAAGGTTTGCATACTGATTTGTGTATGTTGATATGTTTCCTAGCTGCGTGCTCTGCTCTTCGTGGTTACTGATTGCTCGTACTAGCACTCTGGAATCACCTGCTTGATTTTGTAAACAGACATGCAGATTATTGTGCTGTTAAAGCTCATGCCTAAGTTATTGCTGATCAAAGCAGAGAAACTGAAATCTCTCTAGTAGCTAGTACAAACTATATGCAGAGTTAAAGCATTTATTTTGAGCATAGTGGAAACCCCTATTTATTTCTTAAGTTGATTTCTTACAGCTCGTGAAGTTTACTGGGCAGGGTCTGGTTGTGCAACAAAAATAGCAAGCTTTCAGAAGACTGCAACTACTCTTTCTACCTTACTTAGGTTTTTCATTTCAACCTGCCATTATCATGGTATGAGAAAAATAATAGTAGCTTCTAGCTTTTTAAAAACTAGACAGCTGTTCCATTTGAAGTATTAAAATGACCCAGAGCACAGCTAAACTAATAAGCAGTCTCAACATTTGTGTTGTTTTTTTTTTTTTAATATTAATTTCCTTGGGGTAGTACATTTCAGAGACCAGTCTTTACGCGAGTTCACCAAAGTGAAGTAGTACTGAATACAAGCTTGTGCTGATTATTTTCAAAATTTCAGATGTTGGGAGCTGATGTGTCATTGAGCAGTTTATTTTATAGGCTTTTCCTGACTCACAATAATTATTTTGCAGCTATATACATATATCCTGTAGCCTCTTTCATCTTTAGACTTCTGCTTTAAAAAATGACACATACAATTTCAGGCTTAAATTTTAAAAAGGTAACTGTACTTTAGTTATATTTGATAAGTTTGCAAGCAACTGCCTAGAATTTTTATTTCTAACAGACATATTTGGCATTTACAATATCAATATTTCTAAACAATATTTTTTTTAAAACATACCCCTTATACAGAGTCATGTTAAAAAGAACTGGACTTGTCCAAAATGTCACACAATGTGCAGTGGTGAAGCCAATGTTCCCAGATAATTGCTAATAATAATTTAATTTTCTATCTGGATTTGCTTGCTAATGTGAGGCATTTTGTGGTGTTATGTGTTCATGCCAGATGTTGTTTATAATGTTTAGACAGAAAGAAGAAAACTGAAAGTAAGGACTGATGGCAGTCTATATCACACAGTGTCTGAGGATGGGCTCAACAGATAACCAGGATCTAATTGTCCTTATGAATAAGTCCCACGATTTCAAGCTCTCGAAAATGATTTTCACTATCGTTATCTAAAAAAAGTGACATACACACTCCCTCTGAGAGTGTGGAAAAATAGTCATTGAAGATGATAAGCGGTGCTGACCTCAAGAACCTATTGATAAGGTGTTGAGAACCTTTATGGTAAGGTATCATAAAAGTTAAGTTTCAGCTTTTTTTCTGTTTTAACCATTTAAAAGTTGGTTTACTAGAACATTCAAGATGTCTTTCCTGCACAGTTAGTGCACAACATTAATTTCTAGAAGTAAAAGATTAATATTTTCCATCACAGCAGTGAAAAACTGCAGCTCAGAACCAGGCCCATCAGGCAGTAGTACCTGAATTTGATGCTGCAGTACTGCACTCTGCAGATCGTCGCTAAGGTCACCTTCCTCCTCCTCCTGTCCTTCCAGCATTGTCACCAACTTGATTACGTTTGGTCTTTATCTGTCTTCAAATTCTCAGTGAAATGATGTGCAGCTGTTATAGAAAAACATGAATTTTTTTTACTGAGATAGCTCAGACAGAGGAAAGCATAGGGTGAATGGTGTATTTGAGAGTTTCTAAATGCCTTTGTTCAAGGAGGAGCCATTTTGTTTTCTAGCAGTTGATTTTTCTGTGTAAACAACTATTTCCTAAGATAATAGGATTTATCTTTCACTTGTTTTATGTTGTTTCCCCTCTGTCTATCTTCACCATGGCCCATTGCTTCTTATTATAGTTTATGATGGCATCAGTAGAAAAGCAGATTAAGAACTTCATCTTTCTGTTCATTTGTAAAAAATGATCAAGGCCAATATCAGTGCTGTGTTGCTGCTATTCATACAGGGATGGAAGACTTCAATCTCTGCCAATTGTACCCTACTTAAATTGGGGAGAAAAATGTCATTAAGTCATGAAAAACTCTTTCTTAATTATATTAATTTCATCCTAATAAAGGAATAATTGTCTTACAAATTTTCTTTATTTCATGGGGTTTTGTCCCTATTTGCAAATGCCTCTATATATCTTTATAGGAGAAACAAACCATTTGTGGAAGGTATCTTTGCACCACTGACTACAGAGATGTCCTTTGTGGAAAGATGGTTTCGGGAGGAAAGGTGGCACTGTTTTATCCTTCTGCTTTGAGAGACTATTTTGACTGTTCATCTCAAAACATAAATAGTGACTGCCCGTTAAACTGTAATTAACGAGTGCTTTCCTTTGGTCAGTACCCACCATTTTCTAATCAGTATTTGCTGTGTACCTACAGTTCGTATCGATTCAGACGTCAGCGCAGTCAGCCCTGCGGGGCCTGCAGCTGCTGTGCAGCAGAGCCCTTGTGCCGCCAGGTTTCTCGTTGAGATCCGTAGATCTGCCCGCATGACAGGTGCGTGAGAGTTATATTTCTCAACTTTCCATTTGGATGTAGCCATAAATTCATTTTTACTTCCATTAGAATGAACTTCAGACTTAGTCTTCTCATTACTTTTGTAAGAGAACATGACACACTAAAAATTATTGTAACAAGCACCTTGAGGAAGTGTAGCAAAGCTTATCTGGGGTGCACGTTGGTAATTCTTCCAATTCTCCTCTCTACATAAGTGGTTTTAAAATAAATAATATCTGAAGAAAATGAAGAAATTGTCCTGAAAACAGGTTCACGTTGATACCAGAAAAAGTTTCCTGGGACTTTGGTTTCAGTCCTGGTGCAGAATGTGTCTGAAAATGCTATTGCTTGGATCTAATTTGGGTTTTTCTCCTGCAGGCTAGATATACTGCAGTCAGAGGTACGGACTTCAGCGTTAGCTAGTGACCCAGGTATGGTCTCTGGCTGTCTCAGCTGTTACAGACTGCCGTATTTTCACTACCCTTGTTCCCTGTACTAGCTAAATTAAAAGAATTATGGGCATGTGACGTATTCTGGAGTCGGCCTCCAGCTGAAGTGTAAATTCACTCTTAGTTAAAAATGACTGTTGGAACTGCATCTTCTCTCTCCTGGTTCCTATCACTCTTTCTTAAAGAATAAGTCTCTCAATTGCGCTTTGTCAAGCATAGCTGTTACCTGTAACATCCTTCCCCCCCCCCCCCCCCCCCCCCCCCTCCGTGGTCATGTAGAGATTGGTAGCCCTAGCTCTTTGTTTAATTCGTTTTCCCAAACCACAGGGAACATTGTAGATGCAGTGCAACCCTTTCTCCAGAATGAGAAGAAAGCAGAAAGTAATTGCTACTACCCCCAAACCTGTCCAAGTCTTTCCTTTTTTTGTTTTTTTTTATCTTTTTGTGGAAAATAGATCTAAAGCTCAGTCTTACTGAGAATTTTTCATGTGCAATCTTTCTTTTTGCAGTTTTGCAAAAGGTGTTTCATTTTTTTGTCTTGAGTATTGCAGAATTTTCCTCTCAGTTTGCACTTGCCAAATACATGAGTTTTCTCAGCACTGCAGGCCTATTTACATGCATATATGGAGAGGAAAGAAGGAAGGCACCTTATCTGTTCTCTTCTTCCTATTTCGTGATAGGTCGTCTTTTGAAGGTGATTTTAGTCAGCCATGTTTTAGTTATGTTTGCAGAAAATCTCAAATCTTTGCTTTAAGGCTGTGATGCCAGGATTAGTCTTGAGGACAATTTGCTCTTAGGTGACTTTAAAAAATCTTCTATTATTGCAGTGATTGTATTAAGCTGAGAGTCTTATGAAACAGAGGAAAGTGTCAGAATGAAAATCTAACAGGCACAACTTTCCTTCAGTTAATTTGTTAGGAAGATACTGAGAGGCGGCACTGAACCCATGGGAGAGGCTGGGTCTCCGGCTGGTCAGTGCCAGAGACGGTGCACTGTGGCCTGCGTATGCAGGAGCGGTGATGAATCTAGGAAGAGCATAATACCAAGACTGTGCAGTTCATTTATGAGCTGGAGATGTTTGTGCTACCGTGCAGGGTAGCAGGGCTGTTCCCTAGCATGCTGAGAGGGCTCCTTGCCGCTGGGCAGAATCTCGCTTGCTTGCCGCCCCCGGGGAAGAGCGCTGCCTCAGCTGGAGCAGGGCGCAGCGCCGCCGTTGCCCTCCTCTGCATCCTTACCCAAGTTTTGAATGAAATGGGCTTCTGCCTATTCTGCTTAAATTCCTTAGGCTTGGCTTCCTCTTTTGCCTGTGAGGATGGTCCTTCTCTCATATACGGTGTACCAAGGGCTAAATCATCAGAGGAGTTTTTTGAGATCTGCTTAAAATACCAGAATGTCAATTTTTTTTTCCTGCCTTCTGAGACAGATGAAGTGAGATGATCAGTGGGTGGAGATGTAAACAAATGTTTCATTCTGCTTTTTAACATGCCTGTTGTTTTGCTGGGAGCAGTTGCCTAGTGGACAGCGGCAGGAGCAATGCCTGTGTTCCCTAGGTGCTGAACGCAATCTAAATACTGCATGAACGTCCTATTTTTGCTGGCATCAGATGAAGCAATTAGATCTGAGTATATGTACCTGCATTACAAATGCATGACCATCTGGTCAGTATGGGGTATTAGCTGATTTGATCTCTCTCAGTGATTCTGAGGAAGTTGCCATCAACTGGTGAATAAAGTGATTTTTGAACAGTTGGCTAAAATGTAGATTAACGAGTCTCCTCCCCAACCCCCAAGTGCTGCGACTTTGTTTTTCTTGAAAAGTAGGCCTATCAACTATAAATGCAAACTGCAGCCTTCATACAGAGTGAAGTAGTTTTTACGTAGCAGGCTGAAATCAGCTGTATTTTTTGAAATCAGCTGTATTTTTTGCAAGAGCAAGCAAAGCAAGACTGTTCTTTCGTCTTCAGCCATTAATGTGTATTTGCAGGACACACAGTAGTAGCTTTTGGGCTTGAAACCTCACTTAGAACAGACTTACACATAGCAGTAGAAGTTAAATGAAACTATACAACAGCTTATGTTTCACAGCGTAGGATTTTCAGAAAATCTCTTCTAGTTACAAACCTACTCTGTGCTAGTGAAAATCCCAAGTCGGGAAGCATCTTACAGACGTCAGCTGCACAGCTATGGAATCACATTCCACAAAACACCACTAGGACTTTTCACCTGCTAACTTTTACGTTTTAAAAAAAAAAAAGTAGCGCCCTCACTTTTTCATACGATGATTAACATTTTCCCTCAGGATACCCAAGCTGAGTATGCCCTGCCCTCAGGGAACTGAAACCTAATCTTCTAGGGGGGACCCTGGAGCTGCAGAAGGGTTGAGACATTGGTCCACATGTAAAAATACATTAAAACCCACATGTAAAAATGTTAATGCCCAGGTTAAAACCAAGAAACAATTTTTATGCTGATATAAACTGGTTCTGGTGCATTAGTTGCAATGGAGCAGAGCCACTTTGCATTAGCAGCATTTGTTCTTAATTTTGAAAACATAATAAGACTAGAGAGCAGTGAAAAATAGAACAGCAAGCTTTGAAAGTGTTCACATGTATTACTATATAAATGCTAAGTGTTTTCCTAAAATATCTTGTGTTAATTGGTTTGCCAGCTATAAAATTTCATTGATATGTTGCATCTGTTGTGTTGACTTCTAACTGTGAAAGGAGAGACTGTTCTGTTGTTGTCTGGAAAACTGAATTTAATCGGAACGCAAGACACCACGATTCATCCTTCAAAAAGCCTGTCTGAATCTGTCAAAATGTGTTACAAACCTCAGTGAACTCACCCTCTGAATGCCTCCATGAAGTAGGAGTCATTCCCTTTATTTTAACCGAAAATGGAAGCGTGCACAAGGTAGCTGGTTCCCACAGAGGTGGCTAGCTAAAGGGAGATGGAGCAATCTCTTGACTGCCGATTCTGTGATTCAGGACGAGTTACTGCCGTTCTTCCAGTTAGGAGTATTTCATTCAGAATCATTGTATCAAAGCCAAATTTTCTACAGATGCAGCCCCTCAAAGATCAAAGCCCCTCAAATAAAACTGCTAAATGAGCGTGAAGGAGACCTGATAAGCATTCCTCCTGAATGGCATGTGGCTGTTTCTGCCAGGTCTCTCTGCAAAGAGGAAGTGTTTGTTTGCTTCTCTGGCTGGCTCAACATGAATTTTGCAATACTTTCCTTACACTAACACTGCCCCTGTGTACTGCTCAGCCAAACAAATTTTTCCTTTGCATTGACTCATTAATGACTCAATTATATGCAAATTAGGTTAAAGCAGCTACGTTAAGCTGCACTCCAGTGATCTAAAGGTTTTCACTGAGTCATGGTCAGCGAGTGCCCATCAGGAGACGGCAGCTAGCCCTCAAGATGGTAAGTGATGTAGGTAAGCAGGTCTCTAATCAGCCAGAGTCTCTTGAGCTTTAGCTTCTAAAGAAGACCGTGCTATTTTCACTAGTGAGAAAACTTCTGAACAAATTCTTAAATTGTTTTACCCTGACTACTTATTTTAAAAGTGATTAATCAATCTTTTCGTAACAACTACCCAAATCAATGTATCTGTCAATACAGTATTTTTTAAATTCTTACTTGTATTTAAAATGCTAATGATGGTGCAATGGTCTTTCTAATAGGAATATTCCTAAAGTTTCTTCTCAGGAGTCTGATGAGCCAGGGTTAAGCTAAAAGCATGATATGACGTTATTCTGATCATTGTGAGAATACATCTCTATATAATTTTTGTTTCTAATGGTATACGGCATAAGTGTAGATATTTGTTCCATGTAACCTTATGAACTTGCTACATGTTGTACTTTATTCACATGATCTACCTTTGAAATAAAATATAGTACTTTGCTATCAGATATGCATATGTTCAGAGAGTTAACAAATTCTAGACACTATAACAACTTTGAAAATATTTAAAATAATTGCATGGTCTTTAGAGACCCTCTCTTAAGCAAATTTTGCGAGTCACATCATTGCTGCTCTTCTAGAGCTCAGCTCAATTTCAGTTTTAGTCTGTATTCTACCTTTCTATCGTTTAGTTTCTCCCTACTTTCTAGTTATATTTTGCCAGTATTTTAACAAAAGGCTCTCACTAAAATTTATCTTTGTCTTGTAATGACCCTGCAAAGTAGGTGTATGTGTGTTTGCACGAAGAGGAAGAACACTAGAGATTGTATTCTATTTCTGTCCCTATTGCTTGAAAGCACTTCTCTAACCAAACTAGAAAGCACAATATCCCCTCAAGCAAACTTACGCTTGGTGCAGCTTCCTAGAAATGTTTCTATTTTGTGGCTTAAAATATACTGACTTCATTGAGTAAAGGGATAAATACTCAGCTTGCCTTCTGAAATCTGAATGAGTGTGTTTACTGTGTAATGTATTCTTTCTGAGAAACTTTTTGAAGAAAAAAATAGGATGTTTGAAATAATCTATTTGGAAGGATTGCTTCCAAGCAAAAAGCAAAAGCAATCATTTGGAGCCAAAAAGAAAATTAAATGGTGGTGAAGGAGGGGTGACTGAAATGTGCTGGGGCAACCCTCCTTGCAGTTTTAATAAAAAGTTCCTAAGAGCCTTCTATGATGAAATGAAACGGAGACTAAACTTTGCAAATACTCAATAGACAGAATTTTGAAACTTCTTAACGCTCCCTTGATATAGCATCTCCCTTACTTATACTTTGGCTGCCAAATAGACATGCCTTTGCTATACTGAAAACTTTCACAGCAGCACGGCCTCTCCCATTCTTGTATCATTTAGTGGTATGCTGTAGCATTTAGAGGAATAGGACTTTGGGCACTTCATTATACAATGATTTTAGCACAATTTATTAGCTATTTATTATTTTAGCAGAATTTATTAACTGTGGTTGAATAAATCATATCCAGTGTTGAATGTAGTTCTGGTTTTCACTTCAGAGATTGTTAATTACAAAAATAAACGAGAGTTTGTGAATTTTGTCTTGAAAGAGTTTTATACAGAACTTTGCTGTATTTCATTAATATTTCCCCATTGACTACAGTATCTTTTGGATCAACTCTGACTTTTCAGTCATAAAAGACCTTCCATTCTTAAAAGGGCTTTTTGTAAAAAAAAAAAAAAAAAAAAAAAAAAAGCTATGAGAAAAGAATTATAAAATTGCAAATACAGAAATAGCCTGTTTCAACAGGAATGGCTCAGAATTCCTTAGACAATATTAATTGTAATGCATAGGATACACGCTCCATCTTCACAAGATTTTCCCGTGCAATTCTGGTAGAGTTACTAACAAAAATATACAAAGTCCATAATTAACGTTTCAGTTAATTTAATAAACTTCCTAACTTTTTAATGAATTCTGAGAAGCATCTTCAGAAGATAGCCACATTGCTACTAATGACTCAGTCCTGTATTAATCTTGAATGTGGACTTCTGCTTTAGTGATAAGTAAAACATGGAACTGAAGTTATGTGATACAAACGCAGATGACTTTCAAAGAGGGCTGTGATGAGTTAGTCACAGACAAGTTTCACGTTCCCACTCTCCTGTTACGGTCTTGAGCCTGGCTAAGTGGCAGTTTACATGTTACAAATGATCCTTTTATTTTTTTGTATCTATTTCAAAGTCCTTACCCAGTTTTTTTTTGCTCACACCAAATTTCGTCTTGTGTAGTAACTCCTGTCCGTAACTGAAAGTAGAAATCTTGCGTGCACAGGTTCTTTGAGTTCTAGTGTCTACTCCCGTAAGCTGTAAGGAAAGAGCATACTATATTCACCTATTACTGCAACGATGTACAGTAGCAATGCAATGATCTTTTGTTATTTTTTTCTTTTGTTGTTATTTATTTTTATTCTTTTTAATTTTCCAGGCTGTGAACGAGACAGGCGACTGTTTGCTGATGGTCGGTTTCCTAGAAAAGTATTATCTTTCCACCATGTATAGCCTTGAGTTCATTTTAGGCCTCACTGGAAACACCATTGTTGTATTTGGCTATATTTTCTGCTTGAAAAACTGGAAAAGTGGCAACATCTACCTGTTTAATTTATCGTTATCAGATTTATTATTTCTGTGTACTCTTCCAGTGCTTGTGAAAAGCTACTCTAGAGATCAGTGGGCAAAGGAGAGCATCTTCTGCCATAGCAACAGATTCCTGTTGCATGCAAACCTGTACACCAGCATCCTTTTCCTTACCTTTATCAGTATTGACCGATACCTGCTCATGAAACATCCTTTCAGAGAACATTTTCTACAGAAGAGAAAAACTGCTGTTATAGTGTCTGTTGCGATATGGATCTGGGTTGTGTTGGAACTGTTGCCACTGATGCATTTCCTTGTGACTATGGTCTTGATTATGCAAGTTCTGGAGACCCAGCAAAAAGCATCATCTATAGTATGTTTCTGACTGTCTTTGGGTTCCTTATCCCTCTCTGTGTCATGTGCTTCTTCTACGTAAAGATGGTTATATTTCTTAAGAACAGGAGTGAGCAAAACAGTTCTTTCCCGACGCTTGAAAAACCTCTTTCTTTAGTCATCCTAACGGTGGTTATCTTCTCGTTACTGTTTACTCCATATCACATAATGCGCAATGTCCGACTTGCTTCCCGAATACCAGCCTTGAATGTATCTGTGTGCACACAGAACATCATCAATGTCGTTTATATCATCACAAGACCCATTGCATTTTTAAATAGTGTCATTAATCCTGTTTTTTATTTCTTAATGGGTGATCACTTCAGAGAGATGCTGATGGCAAAAATAAGGCAGCTCTTGAACAGAAAAAGAACTAATAAGGAGAACTCTGACACTGGGAGATAATGAGGGGAAAAAGAAACTAGCTTAACATGGCCTTTTACCAATGTTCAGATCCGTTTCTTTAGATAGCTTCATTTAGGCTATAGATTGTGCATAGGTTGATTGTGTTCCTCTGTATGCGGTTGATACCTTATTGTATAGTAGACCTCCTGCTACCAATTTCATTCCAGCAAAGCTATTCTTGGTTTCAGCAGAAGCAATATTAACTGACAGTAGTACAGAAGGACACAGTACTCCTATAGCAGAATACACTATGGTCTATTAATTTTGTAAATAAAATATCATCATGGTATTTCTTAGAGGGAAAATATGTTGCTCCCAGATGGTTTCTTTGTGATCCATAAGTTGACAGTGGACTAGACTTAGGCTTGGCTAAAATGGGCAGGGGCGCTGGGTCACATATCCAGCATACTCCTGGGGATCTCTGCTGAGTCTTCTTTGTATAAGTGACTCCTTTGCCCTCTGTGCAAACTGTATAGTTGAGCCAATTTACAGTTATGGTTGATTTGGTGGCTTGGCATCTACCACATGGCAAAAAAGAGAGTTATGCAGACAGTTAAATGGAATCTTCTGTCATAATTGCCAGAAAGGAGGTAGTAGTTAGGGTGCCGTTTTTATCTGTAATGATAGCAAAGAGATTAGAAAGCTGTAAAATTCAGCTGCTGGTTTTAAAGGCATTTCATGCAAGCATTGAGACAGCCAAGGAGAGTGTGTTTGTGTATACAGACAGGTTGCTTTACGCTTTGAAAAATGACTGCAAAAATGCCAGTACTGGTTTGCTTACCTGTCCCAGTGGTTTATAAAGGCATTTCTTAGTTAAGAACTAAATGAATAGATTTTCTTATTTTTACTTTTTCAAGTTGAATCTGGCTGTAAAATCAAAGTGTAGCTTTGCTTACTTTCCCAGTTACATGACTATACATGTTCTATTCTGCCCTTAATTACAGCTTTTTAGTCATATAATGCAATTATTTTATATAATTAATGTGATTACCTTATCTATAGGTGAGAACAGGATTTATAACTGGAAGTGGAGTTTGGACTTCATGCTTTGAACTTCATTAACAGTTCCAATAATAAAAGAGGAGCTAAACGGGGGCCACTTTTCTCCTAATATCCCTGCAAAATTGTTGCAACTGGTAGTAATAAAACCAGCAGAAACTTATTTTTCAATTAACTGACCTGACTTCAAATCTAGAGGGTGAAAAGATCTATCAAATGATAAGGAACAGCTCATACAGTGTTTACTTTTCAGAGTACAGCCAATACTGGTTGGACAGAATTAGAGGGGAAAAGTAAATGCTTTTAAGCATTATGGAAAACTTACTGCAGAGAAAACAGATACTAAAAAGACTGATGCAATCAGAGCGTAGAAAAACTGTGTGAAATCAATGGCAATAAAAAAAGATGAATATCAGAGGAAAATCAATACATGCTTTGTCTGTGTATCATGTGAAAATGCATTAGGTTACACGTGTATACGTTGTATTGACATATTTACTTTGTTGGATCTGCACTGACTAGCGCTGCGTGGTTTGCTTTGTTACCTTTCATCATTTCAATAAGGAGGAGAAGCCCAGAATGCACAGTATTTGGGGTGAGAAGGAGAGGTTTTGCTGAGGATGCCCTATATGGCCGTTGAAAGGACTCCTGCTGACAAGTCATTGTGACTTGGGAAAGACTTGTGAAGGTTAAGAGAGGGCAGGGGCCCGCGGCGCTGGAGCAGGAGGCAGCGTTCCTCCTGCAGCGGGGAAGCCCACCAGGCACCAGAGGAGCCACGGGCAAAGGGGAAAGGCATTTCATACTTATATGACACTTGCTGCTCTTTGAGAAATGGAGAAAGGTATCTCCGGTTATTGTCTCATTAGGGTTAATTTTATTTTTGATTGCTGATGTGTTCTGCTGAAAGACTTGTAAATGTTTTACTGGTAATTGAATAATATACTGAGAATAAACTGCAACCTGTTTGTTTTTTTTTTTTAAAAAAAAAAGCCTCCTTTGTGTTGAGTATTCTGTTTTATATGCAATTTTCTTTTAATGTCCAGTAGCACATTACATCTGCATTTTTCCAGTAAATAGTAAAATCCTAAAATCTATGAGCAAAAGTAACCATTTGACTAAATCTGAGGGGAAAAAAGTAGTTGCTTTCTTCTGTGAGTATCTCAGGCCAGGTGCTTAGCTCATACCATTGAGGTTCAGCTAAAATCTCAGCTTTCGTGAGTATCATGCTCCAAAGAAAAGTGGTTCCTACACTGAAAGAAGATAAATTCCCGGTGAGCCCAGGTGTTTGAGATGGAAGCTCTTCTGGTCCCTGGCGGTGCAGCGAGTTTGCTTGTGCTCATCAGTATCGTCAGCCTCCCTGTACCAGCGTCTTTGTGAGTAAAGGTCCTTACCTGCGTACTCAAAAGCCGAGGGAGTGAGGTTTTCAGTGTCACGACTAACAGTGCCCTAGTTGTTTACTACCTTGTTTTTTTTACTATTTGCACTGGAATACAGATATTTAATGAGTTGTTAACAAACGTTTTGACTGGAATTGAATAATGTGCACATGCTGGAAATGTGCATAAATCATTATTTTCTTCACTTACTTGCTTTGTAACAATCTTTGTATGTAACTCTCTGAATCGCTTTGTCAGTGGTGGAAAAAAGATCCATCATGTATGCTATGGCAGCATGGCCTGGGACAGATAAGGCTGTGCTTGAATTTCCATTATAAATATTTCCTGGTTTTTTAAGGACCATTGTACAGAAAGCATTTAAGAGGCAATTATTCACTTGAGTATGAAATATGGCATTATACATCCTCAGCCCAGTAACTCTTTCTGGGGAAAACAACATACAGTAATATATATTGGGCTGAAACACCTTTTCGTAGACTCACCTTTGACTCTTATCACTGACAGATATGTGGCGGAAATCCCTGCTTTGGCCTGCATAGGAGTAAACTAAGGTAAGACTTGCAGTTTTGTGTCAGAACTGAAAGTTTCAAACCTATTTATTTGCAAGAGATACTGGCATTGCGGCCAAAGATAATTCATCTGCAGGTGTTGAGGCGTAACCTGAGAAGTTTCTCTTTAAACATCAGGTGTGTAATTTAACAGCTTCTCTATCTGCAATACTCGCGCAACAAGACTTTTCACGGATATGTTTATTTTGAAAAACTGTAGCTGTTTGGGGCTTTTCCATATTGGCTCCAATGGCTTCTTTTCTTGTGAGTGGGCTTGTATGGTGCAGAAGGGGAGAGTTTGGTGGTTTAAAAAAATATATAACCCTGTACCAGAAGCGGAAAGGACATATATACTCTGCCTGGACATGCTGCTTGTATTTAAACTTTTTCTTCACATTAGTAATTTTGGTTGTCAGCTCTTCTTTCTCACGATCTGTATTTGCTTTCACTATCTTCATTCATTCTGGGCTTGAGAAAAGTTTTGAAAGGAGAAATTTTGGATTTCCAGTGAAAAACTACTTTCTATTTAACCTGAATTCATGTACTGTGTCTACTGTAGGAATCTACTAAACCAAATGAAATGCGTTTTCCTCAGCAGCACAATTGTACCTGCTGGTCACAGGTCACCTAGCAGAGTTATTAGTGAGATGAATGCAATAATGATAAACATTATTAATCCTGGGATACCACATTTAGTTCAATTTGCCACGTGCAGTATTATCTTGGTGACATACGCAGCTCATTGGCAAGACACTGGGGAGAAACTAGCACCAGTGGATGTCTGGCTCCAAGAGTGTCATTCCTGCGACTATCAAATGAAACTCCTTTAGAGCGCACAAATTCGTATGATTTTGTTTAGTATGCAACCTTGCTCCTCGCTAGAGAAGAGACTGTTCTTGCTCTCTGTGGTGGCCGAAGAGGCTTTCTTCTCCGTTTGAAACTTCATGCTACACAGCAGTGTCTTGAGACCAGCAATCCCATTTCTCTGTAGGCATATGTGCTGGTCTTTATCATGATTTTAATCCTAGGTTGCGTAAATGCAAGTTTAGTATCCAGAGCTCAACCACAAAAGAGAAGTAGAAGGTAGGTGCAACGAGGCACTTGTTTATCCTCCGTATTGAAGGCTTCCTCTTGTGGAGGAAGAAAATAATGCCTCTGCTTACTAGCCAATTTCCAGAAAGTGGCTTTTGCAATATTCAGGTCACGTAGTGCTGCACATCTCAAATTCAGCCAGCAGCTGCACATGCAGAAGAGCAGATTAGAACAGGCAGCTTCCCTGTAAGCATCCACGTTGGTAATTTGAAAGTATCTGTCTAATTAGTTTTATATTAATCTTAGCCGCATGCTGTTTTTAATTATATTAGAAAATAACTGTTTCCGCTTTCAGAGATACCCTGTATGGAAAGGCTTGCTTTGGTGGTGCAGCTGACCCTGCCTAATGCTCACCTGAATTTTTTCCAGGCTGTGGTAAGAGCATGAGAGTCTCGAAGGAATTATCTCGAAGCCACAGAGGTCTGAGACGTGAGTATGTGTTCTTTAGTCAGGTCTCAGTCTCCCTAAGGCTGTCATAAAATTACAAAAAAAAAGGCCTGATTTTGCTGTCAGTGTGAATTGCCAACCTTTCCATTAATGTCAATGATGCTGTGCTGGACAGCATCACTTAAAATCAGGAAGAAATGTATAGCTTTGTTTTTTGGGTTTTTAAGCGTAGAAGACTGAGTAACGCAAAAGGCCGGAGGGTGGCTGCTGGGAAGGGACGGCCAGGGCTGGGCTGGCAGGACGCTCCTTGCCGCTGGCTGCTGCCCTTCCCTGGCCAGCGCCGCCGGCGGGAGCCACCAGCGCCCCGAGCCGCTGCCGGGACCTGACCCATCTGTAAGCGATGCCTGGTGACAGGCCTTACTGGCTAATATGCTCAGTTACTTGTTTTGCTGCGGCCGTTAACAGAGAATAGGGTCGTCTGGTTATTAGTTGTGTGGAGTCACTAAGGATACCTCCCTGGGAATGCACCAGCGTCAAATTTCCCCGCGCAGCTATTCCCCATCAGTGGCTTGGAAACCAGCGCAGACTGGTCGTCCATAAATAAATGCTCCTTTTATCCACAGGTGTCCATCACAGAAAAGGTGCTAAGTTACAGAAGCTGATGCCTGTACATCTGAGCACCTACCATTGTCTAATAAAACTCCCATAGATTATATAAAATATTTCTTATAATAGTGATGCTATTACTTCTCTAGTATGTGTACTGATCATATCAACGACACATGAAATTTTAAAGAACAGACACTTGCTAACTAGAAAACAAGTTATTAATTCAGTTTAGTTAGAATTCTGAAGGACTGCAACTGCTCTAATGTAGGTAGGACTAGACCAGCAGATGTTAAGGTCTTTGTTTTGTTTCTGTGCAATTAAATTGCAGGAAGAGAACATAAAAAACCCAAAACATATGAAATAATAGCTCATGGTAACTTTCTCTGCTTCATATAGCACCAAGCTGCTATCAGTATTAATATATTTTGTCGTAAATAAGAATAACTTTTACCATAAGGGAAAAAATACTGAATTTAATAGATAATTTTATTGTAACAAACTACGTAGTTATAAAAATGCTACCAGAAAAAAAGTAGTGCTTCATGAGATGTGCCGCATGATTAAACACGAACACGGAAGCGACTCTGGTCAGTTGACCTATTGTCAGGGAATTACGGTTTTATATGGCCTGAGCTATTACAGTAATGATATTTGTTCTAGTAGCTGTGTTTGTATTTGGTAACTATGGTTTTATGTTTTTTTCAGGTAGCAAATGGAACCTGTGGAAAATAGAGAGGTGATTACTTTATAAGCTTGCTATTGGCCTTTCTATTACTGCTATTTCTGTGCACCTCAAGGGGTATAACGTATGCATGTTTGCAGTATGCACGTGAGGGCGATACCTGCGTTGTGACGTGTCACAGTTTGGAAACGGAAGCTAAAAGAGACGGGGCTCCAGAGCCTGAAAAGGTTCAGGGTGTTTTTTCTTCTGTATGTACACATTTTGTCCTAGGTATGGTTGGTGACTGTTACATGCTGACACTTTGTCATCTTTTTCCTTTTTCGTTTCTTAGAATTCTGCTGCTGCATATGTTCAACGAGAGGTAATGACATAATGGAGGTTTTGCGAATCCAGCTTCAGGAAGCATGATGACTTCAGTCCATGGGTGTTTGTCAATACCCGTTTCTGGCATTTTGCTATTTCCCCCAGATGCTCTCTGCGAGGGCTCCGCTGCAGCATCTCGACTCGGGGAAGCGGCTCGTGGAGCGCGGTGCCCAGCCCGGGGACCCAAGAGGTATGCTTGTGGCCAGGCACCACCACGCTGCTCCCACAGGAGCACCCACGCTTGGGCAATGGTCCCCACCTGGGAGACGCGTGGCAGGAGAGGGCTGGGGTGGGTGCCCACAGCCTCGCACAGGGGCAGCACCCAGGCCAGGAACCCTGAGGGGCTGCTGGTCCCCTCGGGCATCCCCACCACGGCCATCCTCCCACAGGAAGGAAGTCAGGCGAGTTGTGAAACTTGGACTGAGAAGCAGAACCTGCCGACGGGGCGGCGTAAAGACGTCACTCAGGTTTCAGCAACTTCCAGCATGCAGCTGGACCTCAGCTTGTGGGTGAGGAAGGAGCTGCCTCGGAGAGCACCAGCCCAGACCAAGTCAACTTTCACACCTACAGTGAACATCAGGGCTGTGGTAACACTGAAGAAGGTTGCCGCTGTAGTAAGTTTATAATAAATTTTTAAGGAAAGAGCAGTGTCCTCCACAGCAGTGTTCATCCTTTGTGCTTTTTTTCTTAGTACTGTTAAGTAGCTCACTTGAACAACCAACAGAAATTGTCCGCAGGTAAAAGTCAAAACAATGGGAGAGATCAGAGGCATAAATCAGTTTGAAAAATCTGGAAAATAAAGAAAAGAAGTTTTAGCCATATGGGCTTTCTGTAAAAAGGATACCGAGCTAAAAACGTGGGAGAGCACTCGGCCCACATAGCAAGGCTGCACCCAAAGCAGCCAAGCCTGTGCCCCTGCGGAGCCGCCCCGCTGGGTGCTGCGGCGCTGAGCATCTCCAGGCAGTCCTGCTGCCTTTCTGTGTGTGCTGGAGCTTCTGTGTGTGCTTGCATTTTGTGCTCTTACCACGTGCTTTTCCGCATTATGCAGGCATGGAAGCAAAGGCATGGTCATTGACAGATGAGTACTGTTTTAAAGTTAATTATATAATGTGAACTTTTTTAGATAGATGTTTTTCTGTAGGATGGAATAGATAGAACTACTACAGAAGACTTTAATGCCTGCCTATGGAGAGAGAGATATATACGTATGTATGTATGTATATAAAATAAACCAAACCTATTTGTCTTTGCATACGTTTTTGGAATATTATCTTAAAAGGCTGATTCGGTTCTTAAGCATGTTCAAATCATATCGCTGATTATAATTTAATATTATAGGGAGGCAGAGAATAATTCTGTTGTGGCCAGAGTGACAACAAAAATGCTGTCTTTTTGTTCAAGAGCTCTATTTCCCACGTGAAATAAACACATAGTTTAAGTGCTCACACTTACTGATATAATAAACACATAGTTCAATGTGCTTAGTCTTACAAACCTTATTCCAGGTGCATAGCACATCTGGCTGTTTTTTTGTGTCCTCAATGTGAGCAGAATTTGGAAGGACCTTCTAGCCATAAAATCTTTATTTCTGAAGGTATATGAGCCAAGAACCCCTTGCTGCCAATTTAGGGGCAGACTGTTGGCACTGCTGGGAGTTGTAAGGTATGAAGGAGGGTCTAGAATGGAAAGGGAAAGAATTAAACTTGTTTAAAGATGAGACTCTAAAAAGGTGATTTGTTTCGTTTGATTAATACCTCCTGGAGCAGGAAGGGGTATGAGTTTGCTGATGCACACCAATGACACTGTAGTTTCAACAGCTGTTAAAGTTTAATATGTTTTTAACAGTCATTTGAGAATTCTGAGGAGGAGCCCTCAGAAAGGTGTTAGTATTATTCAGGAAGGTACTATTGTTATTATTTTTCTGGGATGGTACCTCAGGAAGATCTTTTAGGACTCATCTCTATTCTTAGTCTGATCCTGCCCTGTACAAGACAACTCTTTTCTGGGCATGAGTTCATTTTTCAGTGCAGTAAATATTACTTCTCTGTAAAGTAGCTACAAAATCGGAGCAAAGAATTCACAAAAACTAGGTGACATCTTAAAGAGCATTTGTTTTAAGCCCATTGTACAGATAGAGCATATCTTGTTTCGTTTGATTAATACCTCCTGGAGCAGGAAGGGGTATGAGTTTGCTGATGCACACCAATGACGCTGTAGTTTCAACAGCTGTTAAAGTTTAATATGTTTTTAACAGTCATTTGAGAATTCTGAGGAGGAGCCCTCAGAAAGGTGTTAGTAGACCTGTGGGGTAAATATAGTAATTATAGGATTCCTAGTGCCAGCGTATTTTTCAACATGGGAAAGGAAGTTCTAGCTGTGTGTAGGATGTATGTTGCATGTATAGCATAACTTTGTGAACAGTTAATGTTCTTGGTAATAAATACCAAAAATCCTAATTATTCATTTCAGTGGAAAGGAAAGAGCTTTTTTTTTTTCAGTAAAAAAACTAGCTTGATCCTTCTGAAATCTTATAGCAGGAGTGATCTGTAGTTAATGAGGAAAACATTAAATCACACAAAGGAAATTGTAAAACTTGCATTAATAACTAGTATCTCATAACTTTGTAAGTACCATTGCCCATGCAAACAGCACATTGTTACCAATTATAGGCCACAGTTGCAATAAGCATTTGTGACTAAAGCCTGCAGTGGTGGCACAGCCAGATCAAAACTCAATAAAATTAGTTTTATGTGCATTAAAGACTAATCACAACCATTTTAAAAAGTCCTGTAGTAGCCAATACACCAACATTAGGTTTCAGCGTTGTATTGAGATCTAGTGAGATGAGGGCTCCTCGTCAAGCTTGCAAGTTATAACCGCCTCGGCCCAGGAGCCATGGCTTTCATTGTCTGAGAGGTGCTTGGCACGCACATGTGCACCAGAAATAATAGACCATTGTTATTGTTTAACAAAGAAGCCACAGAAAGCTGTGAGGCATAAGGAGTATTTAACAAAAAGCTCTTTTGCAGGTGTGTGCATTTATATTTGTATTGTAAAAATGGTTAATTGTAGCACCAAGCTTCAGAGGATCAGGTTCTTGGATGAGAAAAGGATGGCTTTCTTGCTTTTTCTTATGCTTTTAAATACATCAAAATGAATCAGATTCATCCTTTTATTCTCACTAAAATACTGCAGGTCACAAATTCATAAAGCTGCATTTAGCATTATTTCATCAGCACATTTAATCATTCTCACTGTGACAGCAGTGACTTTCATGAATATTCATTATAAGTTGTATTTAGATCCCAGATATAAATTCCTCTCTGTCAGCTTAAGAAAAATAAGAGCTGACATCAACCAAGAAATTCTGCATGGTACATTTGCAGTAATTTATTTACTTACCAGCTATAATACCACAACTGTAACCACTGTCTCTCCTTTTTGTCACACATGGAGAGTTTTTTTTTTTAATGAAATAAAGTGCGACTAAGAATGTATTATTCTATGGAGGTCATTTCCATCAAAGTTAATGGCACCAACTTCACTCTGTTGAAAACTAGAAATAAACAAATGAATAAGCGTTGCCATGAATTAAAAGGCAACAGATAAAAAGAAAATAACACCAGACTATATTTGAAGAGACTTTTGAATACAGTTAGAAAGCAACAGGAAAGCTAAGGGGGAATGGTAATTTAGGTTGCCTTCCAACTGCTTCTCTTCTCTTTTCATTCCTTTTCCTATTGTTATTGTAGATTGGGATGCAGACAGCATCTGACCTGGGTGGGTATCAAGGATCTTTATAAAGATTTTAAATGAGAAGAAGGAGATCCTGTGTGTTTACTCATATTGGCATGGAGAAAGCTTTGGCTACAGAAGTAAGAGAAAGAAAAGAGTAAGACCAGTGCCGGCATCAGCGTTAGGGTTTTAAATCCCTCAAATGAGCTCGGCTAGATTTATCTCCATAGTCTGTGGAGATAAATGTTTCCTTTTGGTACTGTTCCCGGAGCAGAATGCAAAACCTGCTTCCCGTATATGAGTGGAATTAGGAACCACAGAAAAAGAAAATAGAAATATTTGCATGAGCCGACTAAGCGAAGAGCATCCTGAAGTCTTCTTCCTTCCCCAAAAGTAGGCATTGCAGTAAACAGTTTCATCCGTCAAACTCAGCATCTTTTGAGTGGAGATACGAATGGTTCTTTTTTGAAGGGTTGAGCAGGGCTTTCTCTTTTAAAACATTCCCAAGGGAAGAAGTGGCATAGGTCTCCTGGAGTTTTCAGGTGAAAAAAAAAAAGGTAATATTTGCCTTTGCAAATAGTGTACATTGTGACTTTGACCCTGAAATGTCTGAAACAGTTTTGAGAATCAAGACTATAAATACTTTTGGAAACTATTTCACAGCACCACTTATTATACAGGTTTGCAACATTTAGAGATTAGGGCAGTATGGAAAAGCAATATATTATGAGATTTTTCATGTCAGATATTATTTCCCATTTCACATACTTTTGCCAAAATTCCATACCTAGTACCTGTTGATTTGTGTCTCTTCTCATAGTCATTTTCAATGTTTCCTTCTTTTTAATGTATTCATTGCAGATACTGTATGCCAGCAGTTGGATTTATGGACCATCTAAGCTACAGGAAAATGAGTGAACACTTTATTGACCTTTTTTTCCCAAGACTAGCTTTTGTTTAATCCTAGGAAATATTTTCTATTTAATGTTGTAGCAATGTTTAATAGCATAGGATCATAGGATAATTCATATTGGAAGACACCTTGGGAGGTCATTTAATCCAATTTCCTGCTCAAAGTAGGGTTAATTATGAGGTTAGACCAATATATCAATTGTAGCTATTAATGGCAAGTCTGATTTCACTGTCTGAAGAATTCTAGGCATAGACATATATAGTCTAAATAAAAACCCATGTTAGAACCTATCTGTTCAGAATGCAAGGGGACAATGAGTTATAAATATCAAGAACGCTCCTTCTAGGAGGCAAATTTAACAGAGAACGTTCATACTATGTACTTCACTAATTTAGAAAACATAGGAGTGGGGAAGAGTTGGCAATGATCAAATTAAACTGCAGATATATTGTAAGGCAACACCATAAGAAACCTTTCCATATGCACTAAAGCACTGAGCTTTGCGCTTGCTTTTAACAGATCAGGGTCTAAGAATCAGACGATGCTGCAGCTCAGACTTCACTTGGTGCTGTAAAACTCACACCCAAGAAATGAGATCTTTATGCTCTCATGTGGTTAAAAGGCAGCATTGCAGCAAGCTTGTTTGGGACTTAAAGCAAAAGCAAAGAGATAAAGTTTACTAGTCTCACAAATATATTTTTAAACTGTGCAGTTGAACACAACTGAAGAATTATCAGTGTTTACATACAGCCATTTCTGTACAATTAATACACATACTTGATATTGCTGCAGTTCCCTGGTTCTGGATTGGCTCTCCTAATTAAACCTGTGTTAAATCAGAAAAATGATATTTCTCATTTAACAAACATTAATAAAATTTTGAGGACGTACTCTACTTGCAGATCTTTTCCGGAAGAGCAAAGTGGGGAGAAGAGCAAGGACTGCGTTTGAGAGAACCTTCCTTCTTTTGGTAAGAGAAGAGTAGGGTTTGTGGTGGGTTTGGAGAGATCTGTTAGAGTAGGACAGGGACCTCCAACAGGGTGGCATGAAGACAGAACTGAGGTCTCTGTGGTTGCTTCAGGGCAGCGTGGAGGACTATGCAGATGCAGAGCGCTGGCCCAAGGCCTCCTCTTTCCGGCAGCGTGGGTGGCTCATGGCCCAGGGACCGGGCTCCTCACACTGCCTCTGGGCGGGGGAAAGAGGATCTCCGGGATGGTGCCTAGGAGGGCTGTGAGCGACACGGAGCACAGGACTGCTCGTGCTGCCCCATGCTGGGAAGGGCTGTCTGGCCCTGGCCTGGGGGGGAAGACGTGTTCAGAGAAAGCATGGGCACGGCCAGCAAGTGGCTGTTGAATTTGGAGTGTCTTGCCATCTCCTATATTTGGAATTTTTTTTTAGATGTTTTGGAGGAGGATAATTACCCAAAAGGCCAAGAAAACTGGAGCAGCAATAAACTGAGCTCTTACCGTATCCGTGCTTCAGGTCTCACGTATATAAATTGGAAGTGATGTTTCAGAGCATCCTTAGAGTGCTTTTGAGTTTTACTGACTGAATATTTTATTTTGCAAAGGAGCCTGTGTTGCCCGTTATTTGTTAGTTTGGTGTCTTATAAAATCTGTTGCATCTTAACAGTGCTCCTACTTCATAATCCTGTTATAGGATGCAGTAGATCTACTAGTAGTAGCAGCTGATAGTCTTCATTTTGTAACTTGTAGAGATTTATCTGCAGTAATTTATGCTCAGTAAACTCATAGTCCCTTCTCTTAAAAATAAAATTTATGATGCAACTGTCATACTGAAAAATATGAAAGCAGACTTATAGTGGGTGTGGTCTACAGCGCAGCACATTGCAAATTCTGATGGTTCCTTCTCCATGTGGCATGCAAGTTTGAGAAACAGCCTCTCTGGTGGCGATGTGATATTGCTTTCATGTGACTAGAACTGAGGAAAAAAAGATTGAGTTGATTTAGCTTTTAAATATTTCAAGTGAAAATTCCAATCTAGACGTAGTTAACCTATTCCTGAGTCTATTGACTCGGAAGTCCTTGGTTAGCCCTTGATTATGGCATATCGATTAACATACTAGTTTTTGTTGTGATGGTTCAACATTGTGCCCATCTGCAGTTTTGTATGGTTTAGCTAGTCTCTCTGTCCTTTATCTGAAGTTGAATAATACACTAATGGCAAAAACATGTTACTGTTTGCTGTCACTGTGTCCCATTTGTCATACTGGTTTTATTTCTGATACTGGTGAAGGAGACTTACCATTTTCTCTCTTCAGACTTCATAAAAGTCATTTTTGTTCAGTTTACAAGTTCCTAGGCAAAGCCCAGGCATCTTGGATAATTTTATGACCTATATGACCCTAGTTCATTTCACTTTCTGAGGTAATCCTCCTTAATACTTTTGATTTAGTGGCAGTCCCTAAAATCCCCATCTACTTCTGTCTCTCCAAACTAACTAGTGAAAAGTCTGAATATTAGACATTTCTTTACTGCTGTGCTTCTGATCTTGTCATTAAAAACATCAAAAATAGAACAAAAAATGAGTCCTTATGGAGATTATCTTGAAAAAGACAAATAATCTGTAGCATTCAAATAGAGGAACATGTAAGTTGCTTTCCAAAAAGGCCAGTGTTCCAAAAGAACTTTTTCTTCCCACCAAAGTTACCCAGTACAGATCTACCTTTTGTTCTGTTTTGTTTTCAAAGGGTGGGCCTCCATGGCGTCCAATATCTTTCCATGAGCTCGCTGCATCTCGCTTTACAAGCTGAATGCACGAGTCTGTAAATATCATCTTAACACAACAGCACTGCTCACCACATTGCTGCGTGTGGTCTTGTTTTCTGGCATGGCTGCACCTAGAAGACTTTTGGCTTGGTTTTGTGTATCCTAGTTGAGATGAGTTTAAAACTTCTATGTCAAAATTATGTATACATTCTCATTCTGTGTTTAATTCTTCTCAGTGTACTATACAGAAAAAAATTAAGTAAAAAAACCCCAAACCCAGCCTGTGTTTGTAGGTATATTTTGCTTAAGCATATAAAAAAAAGTCTGTTTGAGGTCATTCTTTCTGTGCTGCAGCAAGCTAGGCTGAATAAAGCTTTGTTCTGCCTCTTTATGTGATGCATGGGTCTGCTGGGAACAACTTGGATAGGTCATGAAGTGCAATGCTAATTCTTCATTTTGTCAATGATAGGACTGGTCCTGTGAGTTATTACTTAGCTATGGCAAAAAGACGGAGACCCATCCTGGGTATAACTTTAGCCTGCACCCTTCACCATACAGGTGTCAGTAGTGACTGGCATCTGCCAAGCTCCGTGAAGCCAGTCTGTGGCCTTCAGTTCGACTTCCTTTTCTGTAAGTGTCCTGCTCCCAGCTGGGCAGTTCAGGAGCTGGTTTCTTTTGAGGGTTTGCTTAGCCCAAAGGGAAGGGGCACTTGCCCATGGGTCCTGCCCGGACACGCTCCACTAAACCAAGGTGGAGGCTGGTTTGACCCAGCAGTGCTGGTAAATCAGCTTTCACAGCACTGGTGGAGCTCACTGAGTGCAATGGCCAGCTCTTGGTTTCAGACGGGGTAAGCAAGGTCAGGAGCTATGCATAATATATGTTAACACAGATGAAGCTACGTGGTGTCTAGTCAATCTGACGAGATTTGAACAAACAGCTACAGCAACCCAAAGTGGTCACAGGCAGCTGATCGTTCCCAATATCAGAGGCAATAGCGCAATTTTTCTGATTTAGAGTTGCAGTTACTTGGTGGATGGAGCTTAGACGATCTGTTGCAGGTTAGATGCTGACATGGTGAAACAAATGACATGAATGTGAGGATTAATCAACATGAATTACCAGTCGTTGCTTGTGTGAGCCTGCAAGGACCGCAATAAAGGCCATAGCTCTTTTCCCTCTGTGACTGGCCATGCTACAGCTTCTCATGAGGTTTTTCGAGTGACGTGTCTAGCCTTCATCATAGCAGGATATATCAACCTTTCCCATATTTGGCCAAAGGGCCATGTCATGAGCTACTGGGGCACATGGGCACAAACACGCTCTGGAAGCAAGTTTACAAGGTTTTGTTTCTATTCCAGTTTTGAGTTTTTTGTTTCATTTTGTTTTGTCTTCCTTCATTTTGGGTGGGGATAGAAAGCTTGGCCTCCAGAAGAACAGGAATTCGGTTGTGAGTCAGATTGAAGCTAGTCCAAGTATGTTTTAATGGCAGTAAGTGTTCTAAAAATAAATGTTCTTTGGAATGAGTAATGCTGGTTATAGCAAGGAGTCAGTTCTGCAGAACTTGAAACTGTAAGTCTCGGAAATGAAAAGGGTGTGGTCCTGATTTGAAAGCTCTGTATGTTTTCTGAAGTTAAATACATAATCCAAAACCTTGGGCTAATTTTAATTAATGTATTGAGGTGTCTCACGTGTGTCAGTCTGAAACATGAAGTATGTTTTTTCTTTTTCAGTAGAGCTCTGGTTTAAGGTAAGGGAAGCTGCAGGGAGTGGAATGCACCTTTTGAGGGAAATCAAAGCTTGACACCAAAATCGTTAGTCATAGCAGTTAGTTGAAAAGTGTACGAACATTTTTTTTTTCACTCAAAAGTAGAAGCAAACCTAGTTTCTCTACAGTTAATGTTCCTGAAAGTAAAAGCATAGCAGTGTACTGTGGCACAGGAGAAGATTTTAAGTGTCACTGGCTGCTGCAGAGGGGCCGAGGATGGAGTGGCATCAGACACAAGCTGTGCTTTTTGTGCTCAGTCTCTTTTTCTCTTCTCTTTCTCTCCACCTCCCCTCAGAAAAGACGGACCAGGCAAGCATGTCCTCTTCCATGCCCATCTTATGGGGCACTGTGTGTGTTGCATCGATGTTGCAGACAAGTAGCAGGCTTTATTTTCCAGGTTTTTTGTTGCATTGCCTTTTGCCCTTGCTTAATTTGATGACTTTCTTTGGCTCCCCCTGATCTATAGGCATATAACACGTTCTTTAAATAGACCAATCTGGACTGAAGGAGGTTGAGTAGACAGGAGATTGCTCTGTCCACCTACTCACTTATAGCCTAATATTTTGAACAGCTGGGCTAAATTTTCCAGGATGGCACAATGATAAGAAATTATTCTGCAGACTAAGAGAAAAATGGTACATGGATAAAATTAGACACTCAACAAGCAAACTAAGCAGCCACCTCTTGAGAGTGGGGATAATTGACCTGTTTTTAAGTTAGTGCTTTATTGGAAATTTCAAGGTTTCTGCATAGCTTAATTAAGTTAACGAAATCCTGTTAAAAGCAGTATCAAATAGCACAAATTATGTTCTGATGTATTGGTTGTGTGCGCCCTGCTCCATATGCTTTTGTATTTCTGTGCTGATACTGTCGGAGGAAGCAGCAGCCAGCACAGCTCAGACCCACAGCATAGCTATGGCTGAGGGCACCTCTGGAGATTGTCCATCCCTGCTCCAAGCAGGTCACCTCAAGCAGGTTGTCCAGCACCCTGTCTAGCTGGGTTGGGAACATCTTCAAGGATGGAGACTCTATAGCCTCTCTGGGCAACCTGCGCTGGTGTTTGACAACTCTCACAGTAAAAAGGTTTTTTCTTGTATTTAGCCTGTATTTCAGCTTGTGCCCATTGCTTCTGGTCCTGTCGCTGATCAGACAGCACCATTCTCAGTGTGCCTGCATAGGGACGGCAATCCTGGTCGTTTCCCCGCAAGGGCCTTTGGCAGTGCTTTGTTCCAAGCCAGTTTCCTCTCTGCCCGGTCATCCCGATTGCTGGCCTTTCAGGCTGTCAAGGCAACTGTAGAAGGTGCATCTCATAGCAAGTAACATCAGGCTTGGGCTGGAGCCAGGCCTTCAAGCGGCTGGAAATCTACCCTCCTTCAGAGAAATGAGACTTTCTAGGCATGCCGCAGGAAACGCATTTCTGATGGACTACTGTAGGAAATGAGGGTGTACGCACCTGACATTAACAGCCTATCTAGTCATTAATTGTTTTAATATACATTATTTTAATAATTATTTAGAAGCAGGTCATCTTTCCAAAAGAATAGGATTGCTCTTGGGCTGCCAAAGTGACTGCAGATTTAGATGCTGTGCCAGGCACAGGCTTGCTGCCTGTAAAGTTATAAAAAAATCTGGAAACTGGCCTTCAGATGTGTTCTTCCCACCCCGTGCACTTAACTGTGCAGTTTGTGTCCCAAACTGTCCTACCATGCTCATCTGCAAGTTTCCCATGTCTGTGTGCTGACGCTATGCTGCATGCAGTCATAGCGATATATTCCTAATAGCACAATTTGTACAGCTGAACCAGTACAGATTTTTTAACTGCTGATGTTGACTGAGATACAGATATTCACTTGACTTTTGCTTGCTTTCAATTTGGCTTCCATTTACTTAAAATATTTAAGCCAGCTAATCTTCCTGAAGCCCAGGAGGAGCCTGTTACTGTAAGGGTTTGTAACCCAGCCAAAAGCACTCTTCTATTTGTTTAAATTTTATCATATCAATAATGTGCCAAGATCTATGGACAACATATGAAGTGTGCAGTAAAACACATACTCAAACGCTTACTTTTTTTTTTTATTTGTTGAAAGCAACTGGATATCAAGTAATTAGCAGCATAAGAGTCTGACATAAATGCATAAACACTTTCACCCTGAGGGTAATACGTTATGCGTGATTAATGTCATCGGCAAGGTGACCTTTAGACTCTTCTTAATATTCTTAATTCTTTCTACTTTGCCATGTCTTATCTTGATTCTTAGCTACCTAAGTGAAGTCAAACATTTAATTCGTGATTCAAGTTGTCTTTAGCTTAGCCATTCCTGTAACTTGACTTTTTGATGTATTCACATGAGAATTGCTTCATGAATAACCTTTCAGTTGAAATAATTAAGTCTTTTGATAAATAAAAGCAGTTCAACAGTTTGCATGCTAACTTTTGAAATAAATTCTGTACTCCCAGCTACTGTAAGGTTTGAGCTTGTGATGTTTTTTTTGCTCCTTCCTAGAAACATGCTTCGTTAAAGTGAGCGTCATTGAGAAGCAGATGAAACGTTCCCCCTGCTGCTGGTTTGATTCATTCTTTCTGATAAGAAGGACGAAGACTGTGCCTAACAGAGCCAAACTTTTAGAAAAAGTCTTTGAAGCAATACACTTCAGGTGCTGCTTTTCCATCCACCTGCCCATAATTGCCTTGGTGGGAGGTGAGCCCAGCAGCCAGGTGTGCCTTTCTGAATGATGGGGAATTAGGGCTTCCAACATGCTTGTGAGTTGGTGGAGTAAACAAAGCCCACGTGATTCACAAGCCACAGGTTCCCAATTAAGCAGAGTGGCGATTGCTCAGAGGGGATTAAATAGGAGACCCCAGTAGCAGTTGCCCTTTCCCATGAAGTCTCTTCACTGTCAAAGGATCCCTGGAAGTTGTGGTCAATTTGTGGGTCATTGCAGCCTGCTGCTCATGCCACCTGGTGGCTGCTGCTGAGGACCGTCTCTGAGAAAGAGGTATTGGAAGCTGTGTTCTGTGAAATCGGGAATCCCTTCGGTTCCGTTTTATCTTGGACTCTTCCTTGCAGAGGCTGAGCTCTGGCATGCCCGGATTGTTAGGTGCTGGCTGTGTGTGAGTAGCCAGGGGCTCTGGGGAACGCGGAAAAGCCCCTTCCTGTAGAAGCACGCCAGGGTGCCGTTCCTCCAGCTGGGTGCAGGGGGTGCCGGCACTTGGTGGGGAAGTGACTTCCTTTGCTACAGAGGAGTATTAACCCAAAAGAATGGATAAAATAACATTTCTCAAGTGTCTGTTTCTACTGAAATAATAAACTGTAGCATTTTTACTGCGGAATGTGGAATTTCTTAGGAAAGTAGTGATGTTCTGGAGGGAAACATCTCATATGAGCATTTTGTGTGTCATTTAGCAGCAGTGTACACCATCAGATTAAAATATATTGTTACTATAGAGAAACAAAGGAACTCGATCTCATTATCTAATGACAGAAGTATGGCCTTTGAGGAGATAAAATGCTCTTTTAATATAAACTGGGAAGATTCTGAAATGCAGTGCAATGGAAGCAAAAATTACCAGTTTAATAAAGGGTCCCTTCTTGAACAATAATCAAATGTTGCAGCATGCATGCTGTGTTTTTCATAAGAATTTAAACAAATTGAAGAACAAGAGGGAGCAAAATGAGATGCTTTTAATATTGAAAAAGGGGGGGAAATATTCTTTCAAATGGATTTATTAGTCCAGTTTACAGGAATACAGAATCTGATGATGTCTTGTAGATGTGTGTTGCTGGTTGCATTGAGACTTTTGATGTATCAGTCTCGCACATTAGTTCAGATTGTTCCCAAAGGCATGCTCTCCTTAATGTCTTACTGAGACAAATGTGATGGAAGCTGTAAGGCCATTAATCTTCACGCTCTGCATCAAAACATTAAGCAACTTTAAATAAAAGGGGCTTGTACTGAATGAAAAGGACTAGAAATTAATGATCTGTGCTAAACAGCCTGTGCCTTCCAGCAGTTAAGAATCGGTGAAGAATATCAGAAATGGCATTATGGCAAATATGTAGTCCATGAATCCCTGATGCATGAGGACTTGAGAGGCTCAACGAAGGTGTCATTGGGTCCTTTCCTTGCCTGTTGATGAGACGAACAAAATCTCGGTGTGGTGTTGATGCAGATACTGCAGCTGTGAGAGTCCAGACATACTAAGCTCTACCTGTCTTGCCCTCTTTGTACCTCCCAGGGCAGATGAGCTTGCGTGCAGTGCATCTGTCTGTCTTGGTGCAGCAGAGCTGCATACAAATGTATAATCTGACGAAGGCACGCTGTGGAGTACGTTGCTCTTTGATTAAGAGAGCACTGTGGAATGGTGAGAGGAACAGCGTTTAAGATGTATGTTTACTGGCTAAGCCTTGTAAAACATTTAAGATGTTGTATTTTCTGTTATACTAGATTTCCTCAGAGTTGCTACACCTAGCCACAAAAAGCTATTAATGTGATTAATTACTGTAGCTTGACTAAGTAGTAAGGCATCATTCTTAGTGGATTTGCAAGCTTTCAGCAATTTTTGGCATGGTTAACCTCTCTGTTGATGGAGAAAAATGCAGATGCAGACACTTATAAATTACTATTCAGTGGTGTTTGCTTTCAGGCCTTTCTGTTGATACTGCCTATATAGTATTTGTCCAAATTTGTGTTTAGGCTGAGAGAGCTTTAAATAAACGATGGAGTGCTTGAAGACTTAGAAATGAAGGTAGGGCAAGCAGTGTTAAAATACTAGTGGTTTCATGTTTCTTCTGCAAGCAGGGGTAATTCAAAGACTTGGTGAAACATTTGTACTGCACACGAGAATGCCCTGAAAAGACCACACAGCATCTACTTTAATTATAGTCTTAAAGATCGTCAATATGATCTAAACCTTGCTAATATCTTGTGGTGTTACTTCATAATAACGGGTCAAAAGCTACTCTTGGATGTTTTTCTGTTGACAGGTACTTAATTTGCTAACTTGAATAATGCTTCCTATATGTGATGCTGAGAACTGAAGAAGCTAAGGTTAAAAATGACTGTAATTCTTAAGTGTCCAGATTTGAGTTATAAGGCCTGATGATAAAGAACTGCTCAGATCAAACAGAGGCTGATTATATGCTAATTGCTTGGCTTCTTCTGGGGTAAGGAGAAGCTGGAGCAGCTGTACCGGTGCAGCTTTTGTGGAAATAAAAGGCACAATTCCGAGTAAAGTCAAACGAGTGCCTAAAGTACTATTTTTTTTGAAAAATAAGTACTTCAAGTAGGTTAATGATGACTTGAACTCGTAAATTTTAGTTCAGTACAGATTTCTCCGCTCTTCTTTTCGACATCCTTAAAATTTAGGAAGGAAAGAATGCTTAAGCTGAGTACTTTTTGAAGAGTTGGGGCTTTTTTCGTTAGGCAGGGTTACGTGCTGAAACCCACTGTTTCATTAAGTAACACTTTGCTGTAGTATTCAACATAAAAAAAGGTTTTAGAATTGTATTCCTTCCAAAACGTAAGTATCGTAGAAAAGCAAAGCTCCCCCTTCTGAAAATAATGCTTTCTAATCTAACTTCTCAGATGCTCTGACAGCAGTGTTTATAAACCTGCCTGTAGCTCTGCAGTCCTCTGGATACTGTTATCCTCATTTTGCAAAGAGGTAAAATGAGGCAAAAACAAGCTGAGTGACTATGGCAGGGAAGAAAGACTCCTGCTTCCTGGTTCTTCCTTGCCAGCTGCTAAGCAGGTACCTCCTAGCAAAGCCTCCCGTGCTCGTCTGGACCACCCTGGTGCAGAAGGGCTTTGGTGGGTGCCACGGGTGGTACCTGGGCTAAAGAGCCTGAGCTTGCCCGGATGAGCTGCAGCAGCAGCAGTGAAGATACTTTTAGGTTTCCTTACTAATCCTTGCTCTTTTCCTGCTGTGCAGTGGTAAATACGTCGCTGATTCTCCTCTTACCTTTCCAGTCTCCCCAGGAGTTGTTCCAGTTTTGAAGCTGAACCTTGGTCTGGAAGATGGAAAAGATTGCACTCCTCAGTTCTGTAATTCACCTTCTCATTAAGTTGAATGGAAACAGGACAGTCTTAAATTATTTTGCTTTCTGCAGCCGTGTCAAACATTTTGTGCAGTACACTTTCTACATGAACGCGGACCACTCTGCCTGTTTGTTAGGAAAATAGTAATAAAAACAAGAACATCTCTTTTTGTGTACCTGAGCATCTTAAAGATGCTTTCTGACAGAAGGAAATAGTTGCTATGGCTCTTGCAGAGCACCCGGAGGAAAAACCCGTGTATTAAGCACCTGAAAATGGACTGTTGACGTTTTCTGCAGAAAACACATCAGAGTTTTGTTAGTAGGCTCGTCGTCACTGGAAAAACGTGAATCCATTGCCACAAACTTCCAGTGTCTGTCATACTCTAATAAATTGCTGTATAAGTCACTAAAGTCTGTGACTTTGTTGCAAAGAATATTGAATTCCAGTAGGATCAAAATCACGTAAGAGCCAGGGCTCTCCCTGTCTGTGTAGCCCAATGTATGGTCTTTCCTGTGGTAGAAAAAACAAGTTTGCTGAACTGCAGTTTCCGTTTGGGAAAACAAATGGTGATGTGGCCAGGGAAGAGGATGCAAGGTGCGTGTCTCCGCAGGCGCGGGGGGTCCCGGGTTAACGCATGGGGAGGCCAGCGAAGGGTCCCGGTCCGTCCCGAGGAGCCGGTGGGTAGAGGCAGCGTAAGTCCTGTATTTGCTGTTGCAACGTTTAGCACCATCTCCGAGTTGTTAGAGCTGTCTTCAAGGCCGTTTTCCCGGCGCTGTTGGCCACTTTGCTTGTCGGCCTTCTCGAGTTTTCTGCTCGGTAGCTCCGTTTGGCGTGCGGCTAGCGTTCTGCGTGCAAATCAGTTTGAAAAGTCACTATCCTGGTCTTCAGGGTATTTTACTATGATGTTCCTAGGAAAATGCTATTTAATAATATATGCAGGTAGTGCTTATCCCATTCTTTTTGGTAAATTTATATAAATACATGTATATACATGTACACACACACACACACATATGATATTTTCTTGTCAAACATTCCTTTGCCTCTTAGTATGATGATACTTAAAAGAAGTGGTGGATGTTGTGTGTGTTTTGGGTTTTTTGTTTGTTTGTTTGTTTTTACAAAAGGTATAGGTATCAGGTGAAAAAACTGGGCTCAAATGCATTTCAGTTATAAATGCTTTAAATGGAATATAAATGTCGAAATCAGTAAATTCAGCGCTGACCTGCTTCATGTTATTGGCTCTTTCATGATTCATCATCTGAAGTTTATTAAGAACATCCTCAGTTGTTGATGTTTCTTTTCTTTTTCTTTTTAGTGATGTGTCATCAGTTTATTTTAAAACATTGGCTTCTGCCTATTGCGGCGTATCTCGGCAAGTACCTTGGTGGATGGAAAGGTAAGAGCAATTTTATTAAATATATACTGTACAACTGCACAGCTTTAAAGAAAACACTGACCACTAAAACAGCAGTTCTGTTCTTTAGCTTGCATACGGTTCCCTTAACACCAGCCTCAGTTTCCCTACTGGCTACTTTACAATTGCTTTCGTGCCTCCTCATTTGTAGCATGTTTTAAATATGAAATGCCCGTGCAATGCTGGTTTGTGAGGCA